ACTAATTTTGAATATATAAGGTTTAGTTAATTGTAAATAGGGATGAAATACATTTCCCCTCTTAGAAATCTTTCCAAGCATTTGTATGTAGAATAATGTGTATTTGTTTTCTAGAAAACAGTTCACATATAGCTTCCTTCTGGGAGAAATAAGGGCATATAGAGAGCACTTTCACACCGATGTTTCCATAACTGTTATTGTATAGTATATGTATCTGAAAAAAAAAAACCCACAAGATAATCCCATCAATCAATTAATTCTTTTCATTTTAAACATAACTGTCACCTCGTGGAGAATATTAAGAAGATTCTCTCCTTTTTCTTAATATGAAAGACATTTGCATTAAAAGAAGAGGATCTTTATTTCCTTAGAGTTCATCTATGCCTGCTGGTTATTCCCCAGCTAAAGCCATAATCCTGTTTGCAACATCATAATCATTTACCCAGCAAACAATCAGGGTGTCACTAACAAAGAATTATGACTTTAGGTAGGGGATAAACTACAGGCACAGATGAACTCTGAGGAAATAAAGATTGTTTTCATGCAAATGTGGCTAGTAATAAATAACAGGGATGAAAATTATGATGAAACAGAATACTCTATAAAAACAGATTTGGGGAGGTATAAATAGTATGTTTTTTAAATTTCTCCTTTCTGGAAGTATGATGCACAGGGTGTTTATAAAGTACCAGTGCAATTATAATACTCAAAAACTCTGAATTTGCATGATAGAAGAAATCTATAAACACAGGGAAATAACGTTTCAGAAAGATTTTTAACAAAATTAGATATTTCGATTTTAACAAAAACACCAGCTTTATACAATATTCAATCTAATTGCCCAACTCACTGAATGCATTCTTCACTTTTGATAGTGAGTGATTTTTATGGATCATTTATGTCAACTTGGTTCTAAATTCACTAATCCATCCTCTAATTTGTCTGTATATTCCATGATTGTAGGGTAAACTCATGAGAAATGATAATAAGCATGGTAGAGCCCTTTACAGTTCCCAAAGGGATTCTGCACTCATTACTGCACTTTATGCTCACACCATCTTTTTTTTTTTTTATCTGTGCCACGCGGCATGTGGAAGCCTAGTTTTCCGACCGGGGATCGAACCTGTGCCCCGTGCAATGGAAGCACGGAGTCTTAACCACTGGACTGCCAGGGAAGTCCCCACACCATCTTTTGAGCTAAGTCAAGACAGTCTTTTTCTCCAATTCATGAAGAAACACGTTCAAATAAGTAATCTGCCGTCTAGTAAACAGTGTAACCTGATAACCTGTGTTTCTCACACTACATATATCATGCTGCCTCCCCTCAGGAAAAGTTAGGGACTGAGATAGCTTATCAGTTGGATCCTGCACATTCATTCATTCATTCATTCGTTACTAATGACCACCCAATCTCAGCCAGGCACATGATAGGGGCTAAGCTAATAGAGTGGTGAACAAAACAGATATAATCCATGTTCTATAGAACTGTATCATCTAGTTGAGAGACATACATCAAAAAAACCCCACACAAATAAATTAATAATTATAAGTGCTACAAGGAAAAAGTAGGATGCTGTGAGAAAGAATAAAAGGAACAAGGGGAATTAATTTAGATAGACGTTAGAGAGTCTCTTGAGAAGGTACATTCTGAGACCTTGGAGATGAGAAATTGCATGTGCCCAAAACCAAGATGAGCTAATCATTGCTCAAGATCTTTCCAACAACTGAATCATAGGGACAAAGAGAACTGGTTTTTCTGAATCAAGGCATTATTTAAAATATTTAAGCACATTATTTCAGAGATGGAGCCATTGTGTAACATTCATGTGTTTAAGAAAAATTTTGTGTACCTCACATATAAAACACAGAATTAGGTGGTCTTAAGGGTGGGGTGTGCCACTGGCCTGTGTTGTGTGACACACTCAGAGTGCACCAGATGTGAATGACTTCAATGAATATCAAACAACATATTAAAACTATCAAATATAATTTAATTTCAATTTGTTTCTATCATGTGTATGGCCAGAGTTATAAAATTACAGAATTTCCTATGGCTATTACACCAGAGGCAAATCTGCATATAAATTGCTAAATCCTAACATGCATGTAAAATCATATGATCAGTTGTCCAATAGTTGCTAGAAGCACACTATACTAACTCTAGAATTAGGAATATGGTTGTGATTCTTCTAGAATGTCTGTCACTCTCTCAATTCCACAGTCAGAACTAGGTGCATGCCTTTCACAGTGATTTTTAAGCTTGATCTCCCAGATGAGAGAGCACATTGAAGCTGCTTCGGGCAAAGACCCTAATCTTATTTAGTTTTTATTTCCTCATTAGACTAATGGCAAATGAATTAAGGAACTTTTCTAAATGTCTGGTTATGGGAAGCAAATAAAGGCAGAAGGGGGTCTGCTCTGCCCCAGAGGACCCTCATGTTTAATTTCAATGTCATATTAAAAGTCAAATGAAAAGTCATTGGTACACTCCTTATTTCAAATTCTGGCCAGAAATGTACTGACGACAACCAATTACCAGCTTAATTTTTATTTCAAAATTCTTATATTGTAAAAGGTAATGGCATCTTATAAAATCTCCTTCTGAGCTAGTTTATAAAAAACTCAAGCTATGGCCAAATACACAGAAGGAATAGTAGTGGTTCTACTTTCCTAATGAGAATAAGACAACATCTCCTGTCATTTTGTCTGAGAAAAAACATTGGAGTTTTATAAATTGCACCCAGAGGAACAATTTTCTTTTCCATCAAAAGGGAAAAGGAAGATGTCTTAGAACAAAGGAGGAGAGGGGAAGCCAAGAAACTTTAAACCTGAGCAGACATGTTAAAAAGAAAAACTATCTTTTCCTTTCTGAACAGATGAAGAGGAAATCTCCATTTAAACTTAGATACTAAAATTCAGAAAGCTAGCAGCCTCAGGATAAGATGCCAGAAGGGCTTTTGACACAAATGACAAAGATTCAAGGGTGACTCACTGCTGTCTCTCTATGGGATTGCAGTAGAAGTACTAAGAGAACAGTAACAATTACAGAGGAGTCACGCTCTTAATTTTAAGATATTTCTTCTGAAAAATTTTAGTTTGATACTATGATTGGCTTCCCTGATTACTTATTGTTCACTTTTGTTAATCACTTTTAATAAATGGCATTTTTATGCTAAAAGACATAGAAAGGGCCATAGGTTCTCTTCACCATCATTTTCTATCCTGTCAGTAGATGATGTTTGTGAATGCCGGTACAATTTTTTGATGCTGTGAAAAAAGTATCCAAGATCAATTTACACTAAACAAACATCAGTCTTGTGTAAGAGGTTTCTACCCAGAATCTCAGAATTTAGAATCTTGGAGTACTACTCAGAAGGGTTTGAACCCCGAGATATGACTATGCTGTGGTGATAGCATAACCAACCTGTAGGGATGTTCTTCTGATAGGTCAACAGACTCCTTAAGGGGAAAGTGTCCTAAAGTGTCACAAAGGGACATCCATAAAACTATCCTCCCATGTCGTCTTCTGCTCTTTTTTAAGCCCTTGCATTATAAAATTACGTAAAACCTTGAACACCTACCAACTCCAAGATCCACTACCACTCAAGACTAGCAAAACACTTCCAAATGTGTTATTTTCTTTGGCTACCACAACAGTCCTTCAAACTGACTATGTTTGAATTAGTCAGGGTTCTCCAGAGAAACAGAACCAATTGTGATGGCTAGCAAATTCAAAATCTATAGGGCAGGCTGGCAGGCTGGAGGCCAGGGAAGAGCTGATGTCGCAGCTTGAACCTGAAATCAGTCTGAAGGCAGAATTCTCTCTTCCTTAGAGGATTTCAGTCTTCTTTCTCTTAAGACTTTCAAACGATTGGGTGAGACCCACACACACTATGGATGGTAACCTGCTTTACTCAAAATCTATTGATTTAAATGTTAATCTCATCTAAAAAATACCTTCACAGAAACATCTAAAATAAAATGTGACCAAATATCTGAGTACCTTAGCCTGGCCAAGTTGACACAAAAAATTAACCTTCACACTGACCCTCCCCAAATAAGATACTTAGGGAATCTTTTCTGTGTTTTACTAGAACAGAGAATGGCAAGTATTATGTCCACTTTATTTTAGGGCCCCTTTTTCTCTGCCGACAGAAACTTTTGATGTTACCAGAACTTCTATAAATGTCAAGAACACCAATACAAAAAAAAAAAAAAAAGCTGTAATCACCAAAGTAAAAAATGGATTCCAGGCTCAATTAATGATACTACCAAGTATAACTTGGCTATCAAATGTACATTGATGACATAATTATTTAAAATGTAATTTAACAATTAGTGTTACTTTAAAGATAATCATTTACTAATTTATATAATATTATACATCAAATATACTTCAATAAAAATAATTAATTTTAAAAAGATAATCATGTATCATCTTATGATAAGTTCTTAGAGACATAGTTATAACTTACTTTTTATCAATTTCCTTTTTTTAATTTAATTTTATTTATTTTTTTATACAGCAGGTTATTAGTTATCTATTTTATACATATTAGTGTATATATGTCAACCCCCATCTCCCAATTCATCACACCACCGCCACCCCCCGCCACTTACTTTTTAAATTTCACTAAATTTTACTAATATGATCTGCGATATAGATTAGTATTTGACATACAATATACCATTTGGAAGAAAAAGCCCTTAAACTTGTAATTTCACTAACTTTTATTAGTCTGCAAACCTTGAAGTATCAGAGACAATCATCAAAGTCTCCAGGGCTTCCCTGGTGGCACAGTGGTTGAGAGTCCGCCTGCCGATGCAGGGGACATGGGTTCGTGCCCCGGTCCGGGAAAATCCTACATGCCGCGGAGCGGCTGGGCCCGTGAGCCATGGCCACTGAGCCTGCGCGTCCGAAGCCTCTGCTTCGCAACGGGAGAGGCCACTACAGTGAGAGGCCGCGTACGGCAAAAAAAAAAAAAAAAAAAAATCTCCAGCACCTGGACACGTAATCACTTGATTACTTTTTTCAGTTGTTCGCTTTATTCTGGGTGCAAAATGGAAAAAGTAATGAACAAATGATCATTAGGTACTCTTTGACCACGGGAGTGTAATGACATGTTGCTCGTCAAGAAAATCTTCTTCCTCCTCATCCGTACTGCTTTCAGAAACTGTCAGCAAGGACTGGATTTCAGTATCTTTTTCAGAAGAGCTGGAAATACATGAAAAGATCAATACACAATATACAGAACCAGGTTTCAACTCTTCATTTATCTTCTGATCAATACTATACACGCTGAAGTCATCGGAGGCAGGCAGACGTGAGGGGGCTGTCTTAGACTGAGGCCATAATTTTCGATGTGCCCAATACACCAAGCCTCCTTGTGGTGAGAGATCCCCATCATTCTCCCTCTCCCAAGAAATAAAGCCACAGTGGAACCAAGGAGAGAAGATTTTATGGTCTCTTGTTGTGTCGTTCATTGATGATTCAGAAGGTACTTCACAAACTTACAGAGCCTCTGGGTCATCATTAAGAACATTCATCATTACATTGGCTCTTTAACAGAATCCCAGTGAATAGACTGCCAGATAAATCACCTCTTTTGGGCACGGTAAATTAGGACTATGTGGATAGCCAGTCAAGATATGCCAAAGCCAAAATTCAGAACAGCAATTATATACTTATTTTATTTTATGGTGGAAAGGAACTTGTGGAAACTCTAGTGTGTTGCTATCTGAAATTTGGGGAAAGACATAGAATGGGGGAACAGAGAGGAGCCTGCATAGTTCAGATATTTTGGTCCAAGTTATCTAGAATTTCAGCCAATGTATGCTACTAAATAATATATAATAGTTCACCCTGTGACAGATAGAACTCTTCTTTGGATTTTATGCCCAACACAGTTTAAACCAGCATTTCCTAAACTCTTGTTGGTGGACCAGTTCATATCTAACTGTGATTAAAAAAAAAAAAAAAAGTTTTCACTGGTCTGAGAAAAGAAGGACAAGGTAATAACTTTTTCATGAAATTTTTAATTTTAAAGAACTGTGCTTTATTCTATTAGTATATTCTCTTTATATTTAGTACTAAATGTCTTTCCTTTTATGAAACGGTGGTGAGAGCATGAAGTTGGTTTAGTTACTTTGTTCTTAATGACTTTTTTAGGGAAAAAATAGCAACTTTACATTGATCCCTTAAAAAAACATATTCGTGGTGTTAGAAATGCAAAAATCCTCGGACCACAGCTAAATGATTTCCTCCTTCAGAAAGACAAAGTAATGGACTCTTGATTCCCTTTTACTGCAATATTAGACTTCAACCAATCAAAGGAATTTACAATTCAAGGGATTTTTATTTTACATTTATCTCAGTCTTTTTAGAAGAATCCCTCTTCCTTTTTCAGGGAATTCCAGTATGTCAAAAGTAGCCTGATATGATAGACTACTTTTCTGAAGATTTATTAGTATAACCCATGTTCCTTATAAACAGATCACCATCTCTAAATAAATGTTCTTATGTAAGGAAACAACGAAGTTATACAGATTAAAATATGCTATCATTAATGATCTAGGCTTGATTTCAAGGAGACATCTCAATATTCCATTCTATACATTGAGTAAGAGGCTATTAAGGCAAAGTGTTGAAATTCAGTAAGTTAATGAATGCAAGCAAGGCAACTGTTTTTCAATATAAGAAGAAATGCTGAAGGATTATTAAATTCCAAATGTTTTTTCATTTTCCTGACACACATTGTGCAGCAGAGAATTATCTCTTCACGTTAAAATAAGAGCTTCATAAGCCTTTCACTAAATCCTGATAATAGGTCAGCAAAGGACCTAAACATTTTACAAAGAATGGACATATAAAGTACACACATGAGGACAATCTTTCTTTTTGTAGTAAAGATAACTAGGTGGGGCTTGTCAAAAATTTTATTATGCACTGTCTGTACATATAAGCTGCAGATTTAACCTACCTCTGTTCCTCAACTCCACATGGGTCCCTCGCACGTGAGCTCTTACGGAAATTCTGGGTAGTCTGACTTGTATTCAGCGAATGGTTGTTGAAGGCTGGTAACTCTTCTGAGGTTAGGCTGTAAAGTTTTTCTGAAGGATCTGAAATATTTTATTTCATGCATTGTCAACACATAAATTCAAGAAACAAATGTACAGCATATGGTGCTGGAAGTTTACTCAAAGTAAACTACAAGCAGTACAAAGATGGTCAGTACAGATTTTCAATCACCTCAATTTTTCAGTGTTGGTGGGGTGGGCTGAATGTGAGGTATGTTTGATCTGCGATTCCAAATGAGGGCATGGGTATCGTCACGTTAATCACACTGACTTATTTTTAGCAAATTTTCCAATTTTTTCAGCTTTTTTGAGATACAATTGACATGTAACATTGTGTAAGTTTAAGGTATACAACAATGTGTTGATGAGAGACACATATATTGTAAAATGATTACCACCATAGTGTTAGCTTATACCTCCATCATTCCACATAACTCCCATTTCTTTTTTGTGGTGAGAACATTTAAGATCTTTTCTCCTAGCAACTTTCACGTATACAATACAGTATTACCAACTATAATCACTATGCTGTACATTGGATCCCCGGAAGTTATTCATCTTATAACTTATTCATCTTATAAGTTTATACTGTTTGACTAACATCTCCCCATTTCTCCCGCTCTCCTCTCCTGGTAACCACCACTTTTCTCTGTTTCTATGATTTTGGCTTTTTCTGGGTCCACATAGAAGTGATATTTGTATAGTTTTGGATAGTGTAGTAGAGACAGTATTTGCCTTCCTCTATCTGACTTACTTTACCCAGCCACATTGATTTTTTAGTATACGAATTTTGATTTTTTGACATTTTAAGTGTCAAATGCCCTGAAAATTCCCAAAATTCCAAAGAAAATCAAGTGAGCCTCTTTAAAGTTACAATACTGGGTAACTCCTAAACTTGCCTGAATGTTAAATACTTTATTATATCTTTTTATCTTCTAAGAATTAAAAGGTTTGCCCACACACAGTCTGAGGCAATGGTTAGTCTTGGAAAAGCTACCCTTTCTTTTTAGACTTCCTTGCTTTGTTTGGGTAGGTAATAGCCATGTGTATGTGAAAGGGGTGAAGCCTTAAATCTTCTTCATTTTCATGAATCTGGCCAGTGATTCAGCCTGAGTAAGGACAAATAGTACAAGCTAAATAAGCAAACATATACTTATACGAACTACCAAAAAGTCAAGTATAGAAATAAATACAATTGCTATGTTAGGTCATAATGCCCTCGTTTTGTCATTGATAAAGTTGTAAGAGCCATCTAACTTATACATGAGGTTATGTTATGGAGACTTTTAAAACTGTTAAAACTACTGGCTGCTGTTCCTCCCTTCACTCTTACGAAAGCGCCAAGATCAGAAGGACCAAACACCAAACTACGAGTATTATACACTTGACAAAAGATACTTTTGTGGTGGGGGGCTGGTTAGAAATAACTTGAAGTTTTTTGTGTTTTTGTTGTTGTTGTTGTTGTACGCGGGCCTCTCACTGTTGTGGCCTCTCCCGTTGCGGAGCACAGGCTCCGGACGCGCAGGCTCAGCGGCCATGGCTCACGGGCCCAGCCGCTCCGCGGCATGTGGGATCTTCCCAGACCGGGGCACGAACCCGTGTCCTCTGCATCGGCAGGCGGACTCTCAACCACTGTGCCACCAGGGAAGCCCCACAAAAACCCTTAAACCACAAATCAGAATGAGTTTAAAACAAATGAATCATTTTTAACTATTGAAAAGATGAATGCTTTACTGTGTATTATTACTGATACTTTCTCGTAATGCATATCTTCTGATATTTCCAAATTCTTCAGGCTATAACAATATCCCAAAACTGAAAAAGTGCCTTGGTAAGTAAATTATACTGGTATGTTGAGTTCATTAAGGGAGTGACTATAGTGTTATTTACAAAGATATTTGTGGAGGGAGTAAAAATACGGCCTGAACTATAGCTAACTATAATCCTCAAAGTGTCCAGAAAAAAACATAGTTCTAGAATAGAAACAGCTTTTATATGTTTTTGACTAAAAACTGGACTTGTCAAGTGCACCATACCTTACTGTATGTCAAAAGCGCCACCCATTGGTTTCTTATATAATTTAACAGTATTTTCAGGACAGACTATGTGCTGGGCACTTAAATGTTAAAATGCATGTGTGTGTGCATGTGTGTGTGTGGATGTGTGTGTGTGGAGAGAGAAAATATTTATAAATATAATATCTAATATATACCTGTACTCAAATTCAATCATTGAACAATTTTATGATGGGGCCTATTATCATACTCATCTTTCATACATGGAAACTGACGCAGCGTGAGTTTAAGAAAGTAATTTGCCCAATGTCAAGAAGGTAGGAATTGGTGGTTCTAAGTTTCAGAGCTGGACCCCTGGCCCCAGAGCCTGATTCTCAACCACCCTGCCTTGCTGCCCCTTGTCTCCTGATTCAGCAGGAAGCTGTATCTGCAACCTGCATACACGTGCGCGCAAACACACACACACACACGTGCACGTGCGCGCGCACATCCCTAGCCCCCTGCTGGCCCCACCTCCTTTTGAAATGGCTCTACTGTCAGCTTCAGCAATCAGAGTCAAAGGAGAAACTACTCAATGTATTACAGTTATTTTCTGTCTTTTCTTCTCCAGGCTCCTTGGCTCTTTTCCTAGAGCTTAGAGGAAGTGGATGTATCTATCCTAGAGCTAACAGAAAACAAGTCAGAAGGTTTGCTGCTCACAAAAAGGCAGGTTTCACAGGGGTGCGAACTCATATATATTTGCTTAAGAGTCCAATTGTGTAGCTGTGTCTGTGTGACACCAGGCCTCATGAAGTTTTTCCAGAATGCACCACGGGTAGTGACGTGTAGGTGGAATTTTTCTGCCCAGTGATGCTGAACAGAACACAAAAGCCTGTGCTGGATCAGTGAATTTTCTAGAGTAAGGCCTGATTGCACCATAGCATCTGTCCCCTCACTGACTGTTGGGACGATTCAGCTGATGTGCTGTCCTCTTCCTTCCTCAGCTCCAGGTGAGTGTCTCCAAAGCTGTGCACTCATCCAAGGCCAATCTTCCCAGATAGAAAGAGAGCTGTTCCTGGGTAGAGTGTGTATAAGTGATTGCATTCTGCTCCTGAACTATCAGAAAGCCCTGGCGGTTCACAGGCTACATAGTGGGTGCTTCCTTTTATATATGAAAAGTTATGTATTCTAGTGAAAATATTGGTGTTGGAGTACGAGGAAATGAGTGACACGGAGAAAAAGTGAAGCATGTAAGGACAAACCTGACAGAGGAAATGGAAAAGCTGAGAGGTTAGAAACAAAGAAAGACTACTGTTTTTAAAATATTTCATTTGTAAATAATGGAACTTATCAAAATAAAAAACCTTTCACCTTCTGATTTAAAACTGTATGATTATCCTTTTGATCCAGTTCAGACCTGACATGCTTCATTTTAGAACTGGCTTTTAATGTGAGAATTACCTCCAAGGATATTTCCATTTGATTTTTAGTAATGTGGAGTCAGGCAAATGAATGACAGGTAAAGATGGATCACAATCTCTCCTCCCCCAACCCCTAATGAAATGAATGGAAAAAGCAGAAAAATAAAAAATAAAATAAAATCATAAAAAGAACCAAAGGAAGAGGTACAAGTTCACATAATAAACTTTGACAAGGGACAACCAAAGGAATAAACAGAAGATTCATTCAGGTATAGCTGGGGGCTACTGCTGTCCACCCCCTCCCCTCCCCACCCAGTAAGTACACAAACTAGTAACAGGAAAAGGAGAGTCATCTAAGGTGCTGACAAGTCTCACTAATACCACACGGATTTAGAGAAAAGTGGGTGAAGGGGAAGTAAGGAGAAAACATTATAAATATTTTTAAGCCCTAAAACATACACCAGAAGATCTCAGCAGAGGCAAGAAAATTGCAAACTTGCAGGTGTCCCCCCAGGGACAGGACACACTTGAAATCAGGTCCAGTAAAGTTTGGTTTTTAATAAAATCCAGAAAAAAAGACAAAAGAGCCCAGATCCTCCAACAAAAGAGGTTAAACACCCCAGTCCTTCATGTATCCTTCCTGTGCCTTTGAGCCAGCAGGATACAGAAAAGAGTGCAACAGCCAACCCCCAAATAGTAGCTCCAAAGAGAAGATTAACACATCTCAGTACAGGTGGAGAGAGTTTCAGGGAGAATGCAGTCTCACTATATCAGAAAAGACAGAAGATATGAGCAAAGCCACCCACAATGCATGTGAGCAAGTAAGATACATGGAACTGACAGCAACTAGTTATGCAAACAAACTGGAATCCAAGAATCCATAGCACACAAAGAATGATTCAATGAAAGACCAATCTGGTAGATAACAGATCAAGACCATAACAAAATTCCCCCATAAGTCCTTGGGCTACAGAAGAAATAATGAAAATGACATTTTTAAAAAGAATAAAACTAATATCAAAGATCAAACAACAACATGTCAGAAAAAAACAAGCTATAATGAACATCATAGAGACAATTTAAAAAAATTAGATATGCACTGTGGATTAGAGAATTATAGGGTATCATTGTTAGATTTCCTGATTTTGATCATTGTACCATGGTTATATAAGAAAATGTTGTTGTTCGTGGAAAATACACTGAAGTATTTTTTAGAAAAGGGTCATGATGTTTATAACTTCTTCTCAAATGGTTCAGAAAAAGTGTGTTTGTGTGTGTGTGTGTGTGTGTACATATACGCAAATGAGGTAAAAGACAAACAGGTGGTGAACTGGGTAAAGTGTATATGGCAGTTCCTTGTACTATTCTTGTGTTCTTAGAAATTATCTGTAAATCTGAAATTGTATCAAAGTAAAAATTACCCAAAAGAGTCAAAGCAATACCTGTAAAGGGCTAATTTATTAAGTCAATCAATAAAGAATGGACTAAAATCAGCTGAAAATTGAAATTCTGACATAGAAGATGTCAGTAAATGCAAAGGAAGATAAAAACAGGTTAAAACAGTTGAAGAAAATGTAAGAAGATCCAACATAAACAAAACAGGTCTCAGCAGGAGAAAGCCAAATGGAACAGAAAAGCAACTCAAATATACAACAGCAGACAATTTCTCTGAAAATAAGGAGGAACTTAAGCGCTTTAAGAATGGTAAATTACTGGGCTTCCCTGGTGGCGCAGTGGTTGAGAGTCCGCCTGCCGATGCAGGGCACACGGGTTTGTGCCCCGGTCCGGGAAGATCCCACATGCCGCGGAGCGGCTGGGCCCGTGAACCATGGCCACTGAGCCTGCGCGTCCGGAGCCTGTGCTCCGCAATGGGAGAGGCCACAACAGTGAGAGGTCCATATACCGCAAAAAAAAAAAAAAAAAAAAAAAAAAGAATACTGAATTACTGACACTGAAACATAATCCTAGTCCAGTAACTGAATTTCAAAGATTAAGAAATTCTTCTAACATCCAGTCAGGAAAGAAGCAAGTCACATGCAAGAGAGAGGGTGAAGTAAAAAATTGGAGACCTCAGACTATTTCACAGCAAATTCACACCCAGGAGACAATGAATCAGTATGTTCAAGGTTGAAGAGAAAAGTGACCCAAGGAAATTACCCGCAGTCAATTTGCCATTCAAATACAAAGGTAGCAGGCATTCTCAAACATGACAGGACTCCAGAAATAGAGCTACCATGAGCTCTACCTGAGGGAAAGAAGTATTTGACAATTAAATTCAACCAAACAAAAGTTAAATGGAAAAACCACGCCAAAGGACTAACTAGCACCATATCCAGGGACAGAAGACACTGGAGAAATGTCTACTGAGCGCAGAGGAAAAAAACTGTGATCCACTAAGCTAACTTGCCAATTGACCATAAAGATAAAACTCAGACATTCTCCAGAATACCACAATCAAAACTTCTAGAAATGAATCAAAATAAAAGGTTCAAAATTGGGAAGTCTTATAAAAATGCAGAATCTCAGGCCCCATCCCAGACATAAGAATCAGAATCTGCATTTTAACAAGACCCCCAGGGGATCTGCGTACACATTGAAACTTGAGAAACGCTGCTTCAAAAGATCGAACAGGGCTTCCCTGGTGGCGCAGTGGTTGAGAGTCCGCCTGCCGATGCAGGGGACACGGATTCATGCCCCGGTCCGGGAAGATCCCACGTGCCGCAGAGTGGCTGGGCCCGTGAGCCATGGCCGCTGAGCCTGTGCGTCCGGAGCCTGTGCTCCGCAACGGGAGAGGCCACAACAGTGAGAGGCCCGCGTACCGGGAAAAAAAAAAAAAAAAAAGATCGAACAGCTCACTTCTCAAAGTGTGTTGGGCAACGGCTTTTACAAAGCAACAGAGATTAGCCACTCACTGAGTTTGTAGGAAGGAGAAAAAAAATTTTTTTATGTCCGCACGAAGGATGAAGGTCCTTAAGCCACAATTTAACTGTGTATTATGTGAGCTAAGGGGACTATCTCTGATATGGCTGGGCACCCATATGTTTTACAACATTTTCAGGGTGACATCGGGGGATAGTCAAGAAAATAGACACAAAGGTTTATGGTTAAAAGAGAAGGGAAAGGCTTGTTTTCTTGGAGCATGATATGAAGAATCAGGTGGAAGGCAGAGTTAATGTTGTCTATGGTGAAAAAATAGCATTACCTGCAGGATTTCTCAGTGCATTTAATTCTTTTTCCAAACTGTCTAAGGTTTGTTGATCAGCAGTGTCGTCTAAGAAAGGCTCGTCATGGTCAGTATCATCAATATATTCAATTTCTGAAATTTCAGAAGCAGCTCTAGAGAGTGATCGAGCAGCTGTATTTCTTGACTGGGGATGAGAATAGGAAAGGCGGCTGGAACTTCTTTTCACAGAGTTGCAAAGTGGTAAATTTGCTGTTGAAGGCCTCTGTGATGTCCAGCCTAAAATAAAAAAAATTTAAATGAACTGTTTTTAAAATTCTGAATGAGTGCTTAAAGATACAAAAGACCAGTCCCCTGAACTTAGAACTGTTAAATTCATGCAACAGGGTTTATGAGAAAATGAACTTTAGATTATCATCCATTTTGGTTTACCTCAATTTGTGAATCCCGAATTACTTTCCCTATGTCATAAAGAACACTTCTGGGTTATTCTTCCCAAATTTTTTCTACATTCAGAGAAAGGCAAGCTAATTTTAATATTAACTAAAACAAAACATCTGTAAACCCAGTCAATTCCACGACAATTCAACACCCCAGTCTTATCATCTACCCCATAGCCAACCACTGTGCCCTGTATCTTCAATTCTAGGACAATGCCACACTGTGCCTTCTAAGAGGATAGGATAAACATGGTACCACTTCCTAGTGAACCAGTTTTATTTGATGGTGTGTAACATTCTTCTATTAAAACAGATATGGAGACAAAATAGACCAGTATGCAAAATCTTTTAGAAAAACACAGGCTTTAAAGAAATTGAGAACACATCTCTAATTTTGCTAAATATGAGTTCACTCTCAGCCACTTTATAGGGCGCTTCAGTGGAAAAGTTCCAGAAGCACAGATCTGAGTCAGGTTATCACTTTGTTCCAGTAGGGTAGTGACCACTTTATCTTGATCTATTTCAAAGGTTGACTTAGTTGGTTTCTTCAATATGTGTGTTTCTTTCATAGTAGGAAAACATAATCCGTTCAAAACATACTAACAGAACCTAACTATATATCATTTGGTACTGCTCACAAGGTTCTTTAAAAAAGGCCAAGGGAATGAATATTCAAGGCATAAATTTGGAAATGCATAGTGCAGGTATATTTTTAATATCCCGAATCATTGTTCTGATTTAGATAAATATAGCTAGCTAGTGGGAAGCAGCCGCATAGCAAAGGGAGATCAGCTCGGTGCTTTGTGACCGCCTGGAGGGGTGGGATAGGGAGGGTGGGAGGGAGGGAGACGCAAGAGGGAAGAGACATGGGAACATATGTATATGTATAACTGATTCACTTTGTTATAAAGCAGAAACTAACACACCATTGTAAAGCAATTATACTCCAATAAAGTATATATTGGAGTATAATTATACTCCAATATATACTTTATATAAAGTATATATAAAGCAATTATATGCCAATAAAGATGTAAAATATATATATATTAAATGTAAATAATTTATAAGATAATCTTGCATTCCCTTAATATAAATTGCCTTTGTGTAAAATATTGGATTCTTTAAAGAAGTGCTATTGTCATTATCATAAAAGTCATGATTTGACTTAACATATGCCATATAACATTATGCCCACTCTATTGACTCAAAGGAAAATGTAAGATTTAGAAGGGTGGATACAGGCAATTGTCATGTATTAAACGGTTAATGATTATTGAGCTTGTCTTTTATTTTTAACTTAAAAGATCTATTTTGAAGGTAGCTACTACCCTAAGAAGAATCTTAATGCAGTATGTAATTATTTAAGCAATTAAAACTAAGGTAAGTCCCAAAGGGCACCAATTTTAATGAACATTTCAGAAATCAATTTTGAAAACAATTTTTGTGGGAGTGAAATTGTGAATAAGTTAAGATTCTGACCTTTTTGTGTCTATTTGTGCTCAGAGACAATTCTGAAGAAAAATAACTGACAAAAATGTGCCTATGTTTTTTAAAAAATAAATGTAAATATCCCTAAGATTTATTTTAATGACTAGAATTTGGAAATGATTTTACCTGTAATATGTAAGGAATCAATATTTTATTTATAGCCATCAAGAAAAACAAACTTGCCATTCCCAAGAGTGAAGTAGGAACAGTTATGGTGGAAGTAAAGGTCAGAGAGTATAACAGTAATTCAGCTATATAAATGGAAACTTCTAGATCTATGGAGAAAACCACACCCTTCTATTTGTATTGTGCTATGTCTCAGTCAAAATTAAAAGGAATTTAAAACTCGTTAAAATAAACAAACAAGGACACCAAGGGGGGAAATCAGCAGGGGCGGGTGGTGGTGGGATGAATTGGGAGATTGGGATTGACATGTATACACTGATGTGTATAACATGGATGACTAATAAGAAAAAATAAATATTAAAAAATAAACAAACAAAAGAAGTTATTAGGAAGAACTGGACTTCTGCCAACACAGGCAAACATGAGGTGAGAAAAATTTAACATAATGTAGATGCCCTTCAGAAAATTCAGGAGAGTACAAACGCTTGCTGAACTCTTATAACAACATCTGGCTGCTACAGTATTAGAGGTTAATTGACCCCAGCTGAGAAAGAACAAGTACACTGGGGTTGGATCAGACTTATGCCTAGCAAAGAGACAGACCATCTTTCTTACTGGACATATACTCAAAGTGTAATTTAAAGTACCTAAAACATAGAAAGACAGTGAGGCTTCAGGTTGGTCCTTGATTTTATTTTGTTCATTTAGGTATGTCATTTCCTCTGGTGTTTCCTGTATAACCTTATTAGTGTTATTGCTAGGGTTAAGATTAGAGAACCAGTTAAGACGGGCACTAATGAAAAATGCCACAACTAAAGGGATCATCCCATATTTTTTTTTAAAGTCCAATTTGTAGATTATAAAACATAAGAAATTCCTTTTGGAAGTAACTTATGCTATCATTGGCAATGTAAATAATATTCCCATATATGTTTCAGGAACTCTTAGAAAATACATTTTTTTAATGTATAAATTCTCAGTAATTTACACAGTGGAGCAAGAATATCAAAAGACAATAATGTTTCGCGACCTTTATCCAGGGAAAAAATACTGAGTCCTTTGGTCAGGATGCTACTTGTTATTGAAACAGTATGCAAAACGCATGCTGCTCTGCTTATGTTTCATCCACTTCTAATGTTTTATTTAGAATAGTAATAATTACTATTGTATTAAAGACTCTTCAGTGAGTGATTAATATTTTTTATATATCGGCATTCTTATGCCCATTAATGTAACCCAAAGCACCATTTTACATTATTTTCCCAATATTTCACTGGTCTTATTAGTAATCATAGCCTATATTATTGAGCTAATACCAAGGACAATTTCTTCTGTTATATTTATAGTATAATAGTGACCAGTGTTAATCTATAATTTCCTCAGATTACAGAGATAGGAAGTCGGAGTCGGGGAGCAGTAGGTTTGGGCAACGGGTGGGGAGAAGCAATGGACTTCCTGCTCAACACACATGTATTTCATAGCTATCATGTTTTTACATTCACAAACTTAAAAATCTTACAGAAAGAGGAATTCCTTTATATACTGGCATCAGTTCAGAACATAAGATTTCTGTAACTTGTGGCACAGTCAGGAAAATTTCATTTTTATTTCAGGCCACTATCTCTGTCCAGAAAGCCATCTCTTTCCACCTCTAACTGGGAAGTCTTAATAATGCTTTAAGATTTGGCTGAAATGTCACCTACTCTCTAACATCTTAAATATCAACATGTTTCAATGGCAAAGCAATTATTTTACTATCTCCATTCCTAAAAGACTGCACATGCATCTACCTCTATTATAACTGATCATATGTACTATTATTAGTTACCTATCAGTCTCCAGAAGCATGTTACTCGTGGTTCTTTCATAAACATTTTATTATTAATACATATGGTACAATTTATGTATTTACATGCCTAAACAGCAGTTTTCTCCAAGTATGATTTTTGGACTATCTACATCAGCATGACATGGAATTGTTGATAAAATAAATGCAAATTCCTGGACCTTATCTCAGCCTTAATGAATCAGAATCTCTAAGAGTGACAATGAAAAATCCTCATTGCAACAGGTTTCCCAGGTGATTATGTTCATGCTCACATTCGAGAGCCTTTGAACTGGACTCTAAGCTTTCGGGCTTCTGGGAAGAAGGCTTATTTTATATCACCAGCACCAGGCCTCAAGTAGGTGCTCCTTCAAATGTTTTTTATAGTAAATTATTGATTTCAACTGATCACTCTAAGTTGATACTTAAAGGCATTTGGCTACTTACATATAAAGATTTGTCTTGGGCTTCGCTGGTGGCGCAGTGGTTGAGAATCTGCCTGCCAATGCAGGGGACATGGGTTCGAGCCCTGGTCTGGGAAGATCCCACATGCCGTGGAGCAACTAGGCCCGTGAGCCACAACTACTGAGCCTGCATGTCTGGAGCCTGTGCTCCACAACAAGAAAGGCTGCGACAGTGAGAGGCCTGCGCACAGCGATGAAGAGTGGCCCCCGCTTGCCACAACTAGAGAAAGCCCTCGCACAGAAACAAAGACCCAACACAGCAAAAATAAATTAATTAATTAATAAACTCCTACCCCCAACATCTTTAAAAAAAAAAAAAAATTTGTCTTAGTAACAAATTCTCATAGCATGCATGTGAACTTGTTTTTAATCAATATATAGTGACTTTAAGAAGTATCTTTGACTGCCTCAGAAGGAAGCAGCCAGAATATTTAAAGCTGCCCTAGACTTTGATGTGAGAATAGGTTTCTAATTATAGAGCCAAAAAACATTTATCATAAATGAATGGATTTTCCACTAAAAAAAATACCTTTTAAAATCTGACAGGTTCTCAACATAAATGCACATGGAAAGAATCTAAGCTAGCCAAGTAGTTTTAATCATAGGATTTAAGGCAAGAGAGACATATAAACCTTACATATTTGGACAAATCATATGTAATTAAATTTCTAGCTTGAAGATGGCCTTCAGACAAAGGCAAACAGTCCCCTTTGTCAAGTGTTTCTCCCAAACATCAGGGAACGTGCCTTATGTAACCATTTTCTCCCAGGGCCCGGCACAGTGCTGTCATACTCAACACGTGTATTGAATTGCCTTAATTCCTCAGTCATCTATCACAACTTCATATGAAATTCAGCACAAAGCAAACCTACTTCAGAAGGTATTTTAGGATAACAATAATGATCTAATAATACTATTGATTTTAATCATGCCAAAATTCTCTGCATACCCTCACTAGGAAAATACTGCAATGAGCATTCAATATGTCGAAAGAGTTATCCTATAGAAAATCTTGAAATTATTTTGGCTAGAAGATAGAGTTAATGAACTGAAATCAAGATTCCAGGGCCAACATATTAAGCATCAGGTTTAAAGCAGAGGTTTCTTAACCACAGCAGCAAGTAGCAACCTTATGGCTTTGTGTGATCATAATACGAATCAAGAAGAGGAGTATGCAAAATCTAGTATAGATATACTCTTTCCTGAAAGTGTAATGAAACCCAGCATGTATTTTATAAGGGTTGTTCAAAATATATGCCATATCCTGAGCTACATTTTAAAAATATTAATCTCTAATACATTGTTACAGAAAGGAGCTAAGACTGTAAAATTTATGTTTTTGAGAAGAATAAAGACTACTCTTGTTTTTTTGTTTTGGAATAAAAGTCCAGGACAGCCTAAATGAGTAAGTTTAAATTAAGTAACTGCAAAAACTAATTTTCAGGTGCCTAGTAAACTGCTAAGAGACAAACTAATAAATGAAGTGAGCCACCAATATGGCACTGCAGCCTTACAGCCAATCTTACCAGTCTTTTGCTGTGTTCTCCTTGATGATGCGTTCTGGGCTCTCTTCAGAACACCCAAGGCAACTGCATTATCAGCATAGGCACTTACGCTATGGTCTGGGATCCATTCTCTGTCTCCTAAAAATGGAAAAGTGGTAAAATTATATAAAGTTGACAAAGAGGAGACATCCATATTGTTGCTTTATTATATGTATTGCCTTACTGGATAATATTTAGCTAAATAAAAAACATTTATAACAGTGAGGTATATATTATGAAAGAAAATCTCATAATTATACAACAAAAGGAAAAATTCTAAATTGCAAAGATATTGCACACACACACACATACAAGTTTGAACAGAAACAAATATTTTTAAAAGTATACAGCAATATAACATAAAATATAATCATTTGTATGTGAAAAAATATATTTGAATACATAGGAAATTTAAGAATACAGGCGACACCAAGACATGGCTTTAAAAGAAAATTATGGATATGTCTCAGAAATCTCACAGATCCTAAGATTTTAAGATAGCATTTAAGAATTATCGTACAACACTTAACATTGATTGATTGATAGTCAATCAAGTGATTTGAAGAATTACTATTAATTTATTAAGGGCCACACTTCTAAAATACGAAAATAATCTCTCTCAGTCTCATTATAGCCATGTTTTCTGACAGTAGCCTTAAATATAAATATATGGCAACTCACACAGGGTTAATACTTCCAGCCAGAAAAGAAGAAAATGATTTATTTGTTGAACAGAATTGCCCAGTATTTCCTAAGATGTTGACAAACTGTTTTAAAAAAAGGTGTCAGAAAACTGTTAGCTTGGTCCACAGGCTGTCTGATTTTATGTCTGAATTTACCTGCAATTGTAATCCTAGTACTGGAGTAGCTGCATTCTAAGCTATGAGAAGGAAGTAAGTTGAGTCTTTCATTTTTATCAAAAACAAAGAATCTTTCAAGTCCTTGATATTGTTCAGTTATGGGCTTACTTCTGAGGGCTATTTCTTGTAATAACTAGGAAACAAAATATTCAACAAAGTTAAGTTTATTTTATCTCATCCACACAAACCAGCACGTTCATTCACTGAGCACCTACTATGTTCTTGGCATGGATTCTGCCCACATCAAGTTTAGGTTCTAGTTGTGGAGACATAAGTAATAACACAACATTTATATAGAGTAAATTTGGAAAAATGCATAAACCACAATTACAGTAATAATCTGAAAGTTGCCATCAAATCTAAGGAGGACAGAAGTTCATGAAAAAAAAAGTAAAGTTTTCCTATCTCTTTCCTTTCCTTCATTTTCTTCCCTCAGTGTCTTTTCACATAAATTACTCTGGAAAATAGAGTCTCTCTCATATGCTGTGCTTTTGTATTAGTAGTGTCTTTGTCTATACATAAAATAAATTCAGAGACGAAAGTAAAATACTGATGGAAACAAATCTGATCTGATCATGGTCACAGAGAAAATCCAAGTTAACAAAACATTCACCATGAATAAAATATACCAGTAGGAAACTGAGGCAAGGGTGAGCTAAGTAATTTGTGAAGTTCACACAGGTAGAAACTAGCAGACCTAGATTTTGAATATATAGATCTGGCTGATCTGAAGCCTAGGCTTACTCCACCACCCTATGAATTCATATTTTGTTATGCTTTCATCCTAGGGAAGAATATAAATATGGGATTTAAAAAGTACATGGGTCTAGTAGGAAACAGATTGGAGATGTACCAGTGAGAGCTCTGGATGGACTTAAAATACAATCAGAGTGGCTATCAGTATTTAACAGTTCCCTAATGTATCTAACTAATGCCCAGATGCCGTCTGTTTCAAGGTGGTAATCACACAAAGAAAATTACGATAACTCTACTCAAATGTATAAATGATATTACAAAACCAAGCTAGTGACCAATAACGCACTTCCTTCAAAGACAAGTCCAAGTCCACCCTACTCATGACGCCTTCACTGGCTCTCCCAGACACTGATCAAAAATTCACAGGAATGGGCTTCCCTGGTGGCGAAGTGGCTGGGAGTCCGCCTGCCGATGCGGGGGACACGGGTTCGTGCCCCGGTCCAGGAAGATCCCACATGCCGCGGAGCGGCTGGGCCCGTGAGCCACGGCCGCTGAGCCTGCGCGTCCGGAGCCTATGCTCCGCAACGGGAGAGGCCACAACAGTGAGAGGCCCGCGTACCGCAAAAAAAAAGAAAAAAAAAAAATTCACAGGACCCCTTCAGCTCTAGTGGAGCTCATATTTGGATTAGACAATTGAAAATATGGAAGTTTCTTTTAAAGCCTAGGCTAACAGAGAACAATGAGAGTGAATTTGCTTGTTTGCCCAATGTCACCAAGTTAACTATTGGAGGTTTCAGATTCAAAACCAAGAGCCCCCGACTAGTCCATGTTCTTCCTGGCACATGCCCCTACCTCACTGCTGCTGCTTTACAACTTAGTACTCAATTCCACACCTTTATGAAGAACTCAATTTCTGGAAACTGAAGTGCAAAATGTACTGTCTTATACTCCATTTTGAAGTCAAGTAATACCACTGCTTAAAATTGCCCCTACTGTCCACTCCTGAATTTTCTACTGGAGCAGAACTGATTTCTAAATAGTTTCTGCTCAGGGAATGGTTTCTACTAGGGCAGGGGAAGAGTAAAAGCAGTTCATGTAGAGTCATTAGGGATGAAAAGAAAGTAGATTCTACCACTAAGTGTAAAGCACTGTGGTTCTATGATATAATCATTTGCCACTTATTTTTTTTACAATAGTAGTATAAGAGATCAAAATTAGTAGTTTTTTAACATTTCAATTTTAATGATGAAATACTTTAAATATATAGATATGTACAACACATAATATAACTTTCTCACACAATATCAGTAATTTAAAAGACTTGCTTCAAATATCTATACCAAAAATATATATATTAGACTTTATAAGTAGAATTTATTATATTATTGTATTGAAGTTGACATACACTATTACAATGTAAGTTTTTGACTATTATTTCATCTAAGTGTATCCATAAAAAGTTCCAATTATCTTAAATGTTTCCAAAAATGCTATCAGACTTATATTTACTCTATGTATCCTTTCATATTTAAATTTTAACATCACATTTTTGAGATGTATCCACATTAATAAAAGTAGCTATGTTTCATTCATTTTAATTGTTACATTGCTTTCCATTATGTGAATTACCACAGATTATGTATCTGTGAGTTTTGCCAAATGTCTTTTATTAGGTTACAAAAAATAATGTCCCCCCCAGGGCAGAGGTCAGGCAGGCTGACGCCCAGTATAAAAGAACTGGGTTCTATATGCTCAGAATTCCTCTCTTATAACACAGCACACAGCATGGGCAGGTGTCACCTAGCCCTCCATATGATGCCCTGTGGAAACTGGAAAACCAGAGTCCTTGTTTGTTCTGTTTGCAGAAATTCATTCTATGATTAATTGTTTTCTTCACTGGGGGAAAGGGAGAAGCTCAGCTGCCGTGGGCGCTGATTTGGGGAATCTGTTACTGGCTAAATTGTGGGAATGTCTTCCTAGAAGGGACTGGGGTTTACTTTTGCCAGATACATCACAGCATCAATAGACATAGATCAACATTAGTGTTAATTTATTGGCTTGCAGATTCCAAGTAAGAAATGTACATTCAAACTCTAAACCAAAGCTGGATTAAAGTCCAAGATTTCCATTTTTCAGATAAGGTATTTATTGACTTGGGCCAGATCCCCTGCAAAAATCAGTTTCCTTTCATCTTGTTGTACCTGTGAGTATGTCTCCTTGTGTATTCCTTCAGAGACTTAGCAGACTTTTAGGGATCTAAGGTTTTTGCAGAGGTCTCAATTCTAATTTCTCACTTTGAAAAGGAAAAAGACCTGTCACTAAGTGGGCATAGAAATCCAAACCCCTAAGCAGAAGTAGCAGCAACTCAATATTCATTCTTCAACTTTTTTGGTCCCTCCTTCAGTTTAGGCACCATGGAGATTCATTACAAATGACTGTAAAGTCTTGTTAAACTGCTTGACTTCCTCAATTTCCAAATAATTTAACATTTGACTTGTCCAATTTCTAAATAACTTATTATTAATAATCATAATTACTTAAGATTTTTAGTACATAGAACAGAGATTCAAATATAGTTTTTAAATTTGGCAATAATGCAATAATGAACTGCTTTATCTTTTTTTCTCTAAGAAGAAACAAAAACTACACCCCTATTTCTTTATTAGCCATATTCCTGAAGAATTACCTTTTCAACCTTATATTTACATTAAGGCACAAAAACTGGTTTTATCTACAAAACTGCATTTTTTTTTTCATTTTAACCAGTGACTATAGAGTAGAAAGCTAGAAAGGATTTATTACAGTAAATTATTCATAATAATGAATTTCATTTAGAAAACTAACAGCACTCTTACTATGGTGCATGAGGTGGGCCTTAAATTATTTGTCATAGAAAATCATTTGTTATAATGGCATTTACCATATTAGAATTTGTTCTGCAAGTCATTTATATTCTTTCCCATGTGAGTTACTCTTCAACTATAAGGTCACACATTTTAAATTCAATAGGAAGTAACATTTAAGAATATATTGTGTCAATATGAATTTTTTATGTTTATTATAAAATTTTTAATACAATAAACATAATTGATATTTACCAGTGGTGACTCTGTAGTTTTAGACTCTTCAGAGTTTGGCCTCTCATGCAGATTGCTAAATTCCAAGGATGCCTTGTCCTCTTGAGATAATTTCCCCTTAAAGGAGGCTTTTTCTAAATCTGTACTTGGCAAAGAATCCTTGCTCTCAAGTGATATGCAGGAATCGTCATACTTTTGACTACTTTCTATATCTATGCTGTCCTCTTTGAAATTTATCTCAAAAAAGCTGTTTTCCTCTATTTTTTCAGCAGCAGGAGAGTGAGCATCAGGATTCACAATGTCACCAAAATCTGCACTTGAAGTTCCTGCTGTTGAAAACACATATTTACAAAAGTTAAATAAATAAATATAAACAAATAAATTGATTAAACTGTTCACTAACCAAAAGTTCTGTGCTATAAACTTTTATCATTAAACACTATTTTTTTAACCAATGTTTCTTTACTGAGTTCTCAGTGTTAAAATACTTTTACATGGCTTATGTTCATAAATGATAATTATATATATATATATTCAAGCCTAAATTATTTAAAGTAATGGAGAGGGACAAGATATTGTTTTGTAATGCAATCTTGAAATTGATGCAAATTTTCATTTCAGCCTGTGGTTCAATTCCCACTTTACTACCCTCTCTCCCACTCAAGTTTTATATCAGCAATTTATGAGACATAATACAGAGGGAACCCTATTTCCCACAGTTTACCTCTTTTGCTTAGCATGACTAGTAATGAGGAGAGGGCAAAGGGAAATCTGCCAGATGAAAGAACAGCAGCATTTAGGGGCACAGAAATGTTTAAGCTGGGACACCTGCCTCTGAAAAACTACAAAATGAGCAAAATTATATTAGTCACCCACCTCATTATGTCTGCTTTAAAAAATCACTTGGTTTAGATCACTGGTTTTCAACCTGGCTGCACAATGGAATCATCTGAAGGTACTCTTTAAAACCGTCAGCGTATGGGCCTGACCCCAAACCTATTAAATCAAACACTGACAGTGGGACTTAAGCACTGTATTTTGTTTTTTTCCCCCTCCACCAAGTTCTCCAGGTGATTATAATGTGCAACCAGGATTATGAAACATTGTTCTAGATTTTCTTAAGAATAAAAATTCTTTAAAAAGCTTTGTACCATATTGCTTTCATTATCTCTCTCTCTCTCTCTCTCTCTCTCTCTCTCTCTCTCTCACACACACACACACACACACACACACACACATTTATCCAGACTGAATACAGCTTCATCTGATTATCCCGCATTCTCTTTCCAATATACATGTCTTATCTCTATAAACAGACAGTGAAAATAGTAGAGGCTATGACTAAAATAGTCTCCAGTGATACAAACTCTGCCTTACAGCCCAAAGGACTTACTTGTTGCAATCAAATGTTTATACAATTCAGCAATTACATACAGTACTTAGAACTTCCCCTTCCAATATCACCTCTTAAATTGCACAAGTACTGTGAGAAATGCAATAAGTTGTATGTCAGAGAAATATTTTATAGAAAAAGTTTATAAAAGCTATTCAATTTAATGAAACTTTCATGGTAATGCTGTACTTTCCTACTAAACTTGAAAAGAAATTATCTGAATCTAATATTGTTGCAGATAGAGCTGCCATTTCCTACGTATAAATGTCTACAACGAACCTCTACAATATTTTTGCAAGATTGTAAAATTCCATTACTAGGATTTATTGCTGCTAAAAAGGCGAGAACACAGCCTCTTAATAATGTTTAAAACGCAATACAGAAAGTACAGATATGATTTAATTTAGTCTCATTAGAAGCCCTTTTAAGTCATAAAAAATAGATGTCTTGGTTCAACATTCAAAAATCAATTATTCTAAACTGTCACATCAACAGGATAAAGAAGAAAAATCACAGGATCATATCAATAGATGCAGAAAAAGCATTCAACAAAATCCAACACTCATTCATGATAAAAACTCTCAGCATACTATAAATAAAGGGGAATTTCCTCAACTTAATAAAGATTACCTAAAAAAAAAAACTAGAGTTAATATCATAATCAATGATAAGAAACTAAAAGCTTTATCTCTAAGATCAGGAACGAGATAAAGATGTCCACTCTTACCACTTCTTTTCAACATTGTACTGGAAGCCCTAGCTAATTCAGTAAGACAAGAAAAGGAAGTAAAAGGTGTACAAGATTGGGAAGGAAGAAATAAATCTGATTTTGTTCACAGATTAGATGATTGTCTATGTATAGATCCAAAAGAGTTGACCAAAAACTTCTGGAATTACTAAGTGATTATTGAATGGTTGCAGGATATAAGGTCAACATACAAAAGTCAATTGCTTTCCTACACACCAACATGAACAAGTGGAATTTAAAATTAATAACACAATACCATTTACATTAGCACACAAAAAATTGAAATACTTAGGTATAAATCTTAAAAAAAAGTAAGATCTACATGAGGAAAACTAGAAACCTCTGATGAAAGAAATCAAAAAACTAAATAAGTGAAGGGCTAGTTCATATTCATGGATAAGAAGACTCAATTTGTCAAGATGTCAGTTCTTCCCAATTTCATCTAAAGATTCAATGCAATCCCTATCAAAATGCCAGCAAGTTACTTTGTATATATTGACAAAGTGATTTTAAAATTTATATGGAGAGGCAAAGACCCAGAATAGGCAACGCAATATTGAATGATTGACACTATCTAACTTTGAAAATTATCACACAGCTATAGTAATCAAGACAAAGTGGTATTAGCAAAAATATAAAAATAGATCAATGGAACAGAATGGAGAATCCATAAACAGATTCACTTAAATATAGGCAACTGATCCTTGACAAAAGAGTAAAAGCAATACAGTGGAGAAAAGATAGTCTTTTCAACAAATGGTGTTGGAACAAGTGGACATCCACACGTCCCCAAATAAATCTGGACACAGACCTTACACTCTTCACAAAAATTAACTCAAAATGAATGATAAACCTAAATGTAAAATGCAAAACTATAAAACTCCTAGAAGATAGGAGAAAATCCAGACAATCTTGGTTATGGTAATGACATTTTAAAATACAACACAAAAGGCAGGATCCATGGAAGAAAAAATTGATAAGCTGGACTTCATTAAAATTAAAGACCTCTGTTCTGTGAAAGACACTGCTAAGAGAATGAGAAGACAAGCCAAATATTTGGAGAAAATATTTGCAAAACACATACATAAAATACTTATCCAAAATATACAAAAGAACTCTAAAATTTTCAACAGTAAGAAAACAGACAACCCAATTAAAAAATGGGCAAAAGGCCTTAACAGACACCTAATCAAAGAAGATATATATGGCAAATAAGCATACGAAAAGATGCTCAACATCATACATCATTAGAGAATTTCAAATTAAAACGAGATACCACTATACAATTATTAGGATGGCAAAAATCCAAAACACTGACAATGCCAAATATTGGCAAGGGTTTGAAAAACAGGAAGACTCATTTGCTGTTGGTGGGAATGAAAAGTAGTAAAGTCAATTTGAAAGACAGTTTGGTGGTTTCTTACAAAATTAAACATACTCTTCCAACAATTGTGCTCCTTGGTATTTACCGAAATGAGTTAAAAATTTATGTCCAAACAAAAACTCAAACATGGATTTTTATAACAGCTTTATTCATAATTGCCAAAACTTGAAAGCAACCACGATGTTCTTTAATAAGTGAATGTATAAATAAATTGTGGTACATTCAGACAATGGAATATTATTCAGCACTAAAAAGAAGTGAGCTATCCAAGCCATGAAAACACATGGGGGCACTTTTAAATACATATTATTAAGTAAAAGAAGCCAATCTGAAAAGACTATTGTATGATTTCAGCTATATGACATTCTGGAAAAGGCATAACTGGAGACAGTAAAAAGATCGGTGATTGCCAAGGGTTAGCAGGGAAGTTTGTGTGAAAAGGCAGAGCACAGAGGATTTTTCGGGGACTGAACCTACTTTGTATTATTCTATAATGTTGGATACAAGTCATTATACATGTGTCCAAACCCAGAGAACGTACAACACCAAGAGTGAACCCTAATGTAAACTGTGGATTCTGGGTAAAAATGATGTGTCTATGTTCGTTGATTTTAACAAAGTATTGTTAAGTAATTTGTACTACTCTGGTTTGGGATGCTGATAGTGGAAGAAGATATGAGTTTGTGGAGTCTGAGGGTATATGGGAACTCTGTACTTTATGCTCAATTTTCCTATGAACCTAAAACTGCTCTAAAAAATAAAGTCTATTCAAATAAATTAAGTATCTTTAAAGTAACACTTAATGGGCATTTGTATTCAGCATTTTCCCAAAGGCAATTGGAACTCCATGCTCCAGGTAGGTTAAAAATACCTTCTGGCTTAGACCTGGAGCCCTGTAAAGTCCTAAATTCCCATGTGGGTATAGTTCATTGTCATATGATTTAGAGGCCTCGTAGCTGAAAATGTTAAAACCAGCATGATGACTACAAATCACTGTTCTCTACCATCTGTTTCCCAATGAAAAGGTAATCATCAGTTTTACAACTAGTCACTTTAAATAGTGATCTCTGGCATCTCTAAAATTCTTCACATAAGATATATTTATTAGTTTTTCTGAAAATCCTAAGTAGATAAAAGCAGATTAGAAATAATCTAGTTCCCATATTTTAGTTTCGGAAAGTGAGCTCTAAGAAAGGAAGTGACATGTTCAAGGTCACACAGCAATTTAAGGCAGAAATGAAAACAAAACCTGACTCGCAGGCCAGGATACTTTGCTATGACTGTCTTTAAATGATGATCTCAGCATCTAGAAATTAAAACCAGACATTAGCACACAGTATTCTAATCTATAGATCCCAAGGGTACTACTAGTAATAACAATGTAGATATATAAACAGATGATTTGTTTTGGTTTTATCACTAATGTGAAACTTTACACAAGCTTAAATATTTTAGGAAAAGATTTAGTGCAAGGGAGGGAGGACAAAAGTGTCAATCAGACTTTTGTCACTAAAAACCCATCTATGTAATCCTCTAAATGCTAGCTCAGTCCATAATAACTTTTAGAGTAGTCCTATACTGGCTGCGTTTTCCTCTGAATACAAATACCATTGTCCATTGACCAAAAAGAGTATTTGATAGAAAATTATGTATTTTCAACCAATTTTCTCCTGAGGACTAAATCTTCTGGGTTTAAAATGAACAGCAAAATAGGCAAAGCTTTTACATACTGCAATACCTATTGGTTTTATTAAGTTACTAACATTCACCATTAATAATATTAAGTAACAACAAAAAAAGTTACCTTTTGAGTTATCTTTACAATAAGAAGTGTTGTTGCTCAGATGAAGATGTAAGAGGTGTGTTTTTCCCTTGGTGAAAATATGATGTTGATGGATGTCATTTTCATATAGAAAAGTATTCTGATAATCATGAAATGTGCAACTTTCATGTTTAGGGACAAGCAAAAGAATAGAGTTGAAAGAAATTATATATAAAAAAGTTAAAAGACCCAGCTTATTAAAATAAATACAGTAAAACCTTAAGGGAATAGGGTTATTCACATTAATTTAATATTTGCTTCAACGTACTGTGGACAATTCTGAACTACAAGTAACTAAACAGTATTATGAATTTAAAGGAAATAGGCAACTGGGACAAACCTGATTTAACTACAAATTTTTAATTGACAGTTTCTTGTTAAAAATATTCTGAAATAGGGGCTTCCCTGGTGGTGCAGTGGTTGAGAGTCTGCCTGCCGATGCAGGGGACACGGGTTCATGCCCCGGTCCGGGAGGATCCCACATGCCGCGAGTGGCTGGTCCGTGAGCCATGGCCGCTGAGCCTGCGCGTCCGGAGCCTGTGCTCCGCAACGGGAGAGGCCACAACTGTGAGAGGCCCGCATACCACAAAAAAAAAAATATTCTGAAATAAGTTTGGTTTCTCATGGTCTTTCTTCTAAAACTGGAGAGTTATCTTTCAATCTCATCAAGCTCATGAAATCAAGGTTTTATTGCTTAAATAAACTTTTTATTTGTTCATCATGAACTATATGAGTTCAAAAGTCTTATGTGGTGTAGGTTCAAAAGCCTTACATAGCCTTATGTAAGCTCTACATAGTACCATCATAAAAACTCATGGATTATGCTTAACCAAAAAGGTCCTCTTGTGTCACTTATGATGCTTTATGACTCTTAGAAAAGACGCTCTATGGGCACCTCCAAACCCAAGATGCAAAACTATTGCCAAACTGTAATCAGTAACTTTCTCTGCCTTGTCTAACATGGAGGTCAAAGACTTGTGATAAGATATATAAAAGAATCAAGTTTGAGAGTAGAAATCCATTTCCTTAGGGATATAGTAGTGCATATAAACCTCTTATATACTGACCAGAAGGTTGTCTCCTGCCAAAAGCACATTTGCTGCTAAATATCTGGGTCTATGTGTCCAAACGTGGGGCTTTTCGGGTCTGAGGGCATCACTTAGGCCCACTGCTGCTCCAAAATGCTGACAGGGGCCTAAGGTGATCTGAACGTATAAACAAAGAATCAGTGTAGGGGCTACTTAATAGGAACTTCATTCTGCTGTTTACCCAACTTAATGCTTTGTAGTCAAAACATGTGAAATCCTAGCTAAAGTTTCAACAGCAAAGAGGACTTAGAATAATTTTTAGCATTACTAACAGATACAGCTAGATATTATTTTTCATTTGGAAATGACAAAATTCTAAAAAAAATTTACAAGCTGAATCATTATGATTCATTATTTAATTTATCACACAGTAAAATCTACCTAGGAAGTAATCTATAGTTTGGGGGATTTTCTTGTCTCTCAACTTATTAACGTACCTGTTTTTATTTAGGGTTCATAACAAACTGAAGAAAAATCCAAAGAGTATCTTTGGAGAAAGTAAGGAAGTTCATATGAAATATATGACCTGGGAGGCCATTTTAAATAATAACAATTCCTAAATACAGAAGCATCTATTAAATAATCCAGATATTAGGTAAGAGTATAAACATATCATTATAGATAATTTTCTAATTACTGAATGCTGATAAATATTAGCAATATTGTACCCAAATTTAAACATGGCTTAAATAAAATATATTCTAACATTAAAGTCACATTTTTTTAATGTTGTGAATTTCTCAAGAGATAGTTAATGTTTTACGAGTTTTTAATAAGTATCAAAAGTGAATTAGAAAGATCTTACCTTTGTTGACTGTCTGCATCTGCTAACTCAACTTTATAAGGCACGACATTTCCCGGTTCTTCAAATTCTGCTTCATCAGTCTTATTAAACGCATGTTGTATAATATTAGTATGTTCAACAAATTTATAATACATTAACCAGCTAATTTGTGCATAATATTTAGAGAATTTTTTTTCTCACAAAGAAATGTCATGAGCTCTCTGACTATATGCCATAGAGCATTAGTTCTAGGAGAACTAAACAAATTCAACAGATATTTGCTCAGGGCTTTTGCTGTGTCAGCACATTTATCACTACTATCACACCCAGAACCAAATATAACAACTTAGGTTTTATTTTGTAACTACTAAGTGCCAAAGGTTTTATTTTGTAACTACTAAGTGCCAAGTAGATCAGTGATTAAGATGTTTTTCATTCTCTGGCCAGCATGTCATACCATATGCATCAACAATTTAATGAAAAGCACACACAAATACACATGCATGTATGTATTTATTTGTTCAGAATCTTCTATTTATCCAGAGCAGAAATAAAAATGTTGCCAGGCATACACACACACACACACACACACACACACACAGCAGAAGCTATTAACCTCAAGACAAAAGTAGTACTTAAAAAGGTACTTCCTCATTGTAGTCCTTCTCTGTGACAACCATAGTAAGAGCAACATTGAGGACAGTGGGTATACTCAGCTACTAGAGGACTAGAAAGTCAGAAATGCACTGAGTTTATCACAACTTAACCCTTCAGCCTGGAGCTCTAGCTCTGACTGGCTCTAGCTCCAGCTTATTCTACCTGGTGTCTTCTAGAGGTTTGTATTCAATTTATTATTATACTAAATCCCTTAAATCTTAACACTATTTTTCCTTTAAATAGAAAATATTAAATGACATTCAACAAACTAAACTTATACAAATTTTATTAAATAAATATCATATAATGAGAATAGTCTTTGTTAAAAAGCCTGATAACACAGAGAACTAAATAAAACAAACACTAAACTACATTTCTACAAGTTAAAAGAGTGAAACGTCTTCTCATCTCCCGTACTATGACACAATACCAATTTAGCTCACAAATTTACTGTCTACATTAAAATAATAGTCTGTTGTATTCCTGTCAGCATATTTAAATTCAAATACTTGTAAATTTATAATACTTGTTATATACTTGTAAATTTATTTCAACAAGAAATCTTGTTGAAAATAACATGTAGTTGTAACTGTACGTTATGAATTTCCTGTTTGTTAAGTAATATGAGTGGTCATTGTGAACTTACATCATCCAGTTCGACTATTTTTAGAGATGGTTCAGGTCTCTCTATGTTTAATTCTTCTACTGGCAGAAAAAGAGCTGGGGGTTGTATTTTGATATCTTCAACTAGAAAATAAGATTAAAAATAATATCATCAAAGCATATACCTTACCTGATAATTCATCTTCAAATAACATAGGCAACAATAGAAGAAGAATGTTCTCCTGTGCATCCACACAAAGGAATAAATACTGTCAATTTTCCCAGTTCAAGTAAAATACACATTTACTTAACATTCGATTTTTAAATGAAACTATTTAAACTAAGGCAAAGTAAATCTAGAGAATGGCAAGGAGAGTGTGCATGATTTCGATCTGGAGATAAAGTGTACACAGTGCAGTTGAGAATGATACAGTAAAGAAAACGAAAGGCAGGTGCTGACTAATGCTCAGTGTATATAATTTGAAATAGTAAATTTGAAAATATCTAATTAAGGCTGAACTAACCATCGCTATCTTCATCATTTTCATTCTGAGAACACTGTGCCTCACTACCAGTTTTACACTGAGGTACAAAGGTGTCCACTAGCATGTTTTGAAGTTGCTCCTGTGGCGTTCTACAAAACAAGAAAGAAGCAATTAAGAGCCTAAAGTACATTATCTGAAATTTCTCCAGACAAGATATTGATTTATTTCACAAACAAGTGAGTCTACAAAATTAATAATGAAAACCATAGCCATACCTCTAATTCACAGAAGAAAAGTACAACTGTATAACATAATCTTAATCCACTAATTTTGTAAATCAAGTTACAAAATTTTTTTTACAAATTACAAAATATTTTTTTACAAATTACAAAATTTTTTTTTACAAATTACAAAATTTTTTTTACAAATTACAAAATTTTTTTTACAAATTACAAAATTTTTAAAATTTCATATCTTATTGTTTTTCCTTTAGGATGAAAATCAAAGTTATGACAGAATTCGGTATTTTTGCAAAAAAACACATGGAATCCATGAAACATATCACACTGTTTAAAAAGCTAATTTACAAATGTGTGTTGTATCTCACAGACTTGGCATTATGTTGATAAGATCTAAGAGAACTGAAGACATTTTTCTGAACTTCCACCAAGCCAGTCGCATAATAAAATAGGCTTCCACGATAAGAATGTGAGGTGTTCCGGCTGTAGCATCTATTATCTAATTAACAATGAGGTCTGGTGTGGCCTGTCTCACATACAAGGCAATGAAGCACAGGAATTCTTAGAGGCCTTGTGCATTTGGTTCCAAAGGATAGTCCCAAACAATGAGGAAGGGAGTCACTTTTTAACTGCCCTTAAACCGCACAGCTCTTCTAGATTATGCATGCTCATTGAGTCCCCATATAAAAGTCAGGGCCTTCTTAATAATATTAGCTGGTGACAATAATACAAAAAATGTACCAGGCTATGTTCTAAACAATTTGGGGTACTGAATCTTAACAGGAATATTAAATAGGTGCTAATATTATCTAAGTTTGATGAGAAAATTAAAGCACAAAGAAATAAACCAACTTGTTCAGTCATTCAGGTAGTAAATGCAGCAAAGACAATTTGAACTCAAGCAGTCTGCCTCCCTAAGCCCATGTTCTTAATCATTACTCTATATTGCCTCTCTCACAATTTGCAAAGGTACTAAAAATTTAATGATCTCCTGGCAAACTGTGACTATGTGCATTTCCCCAGTATATGTAATGTATATATCAGAACACTCCAAAATATTTATATATTATCCAGCTTTGAAGAGCATGTCATCTTACATCCAAAATTTAATTAAATGATGGAAAATATTAAAGAGTAAAGTTCAAAGACAAACTGGCATCTGGTCACCAGCCTCTTTCCAGTTTGACATAGATATACTGTACTAAAAATTCAATCACTGATACACATAAATGTACTAATATCCAGATACTCCTTCATGAAGTGAAAACTTACCTAATTTTAGGAGGAAAGCCCTGAACCAAAGACTTAGAGAGTCTAGTTAATAGAGCACTGGAGCTGAAGGGGTCCCTTAGATTATTTATTCTAAACTCAATGTTTTTCAGGTGATAAAATTTGGACCAAGAGAATTAAAGTGATTTGCCCATGAACAAACAACTAGTTAGTCAATAAATTAACTCTACATTCTGGATTGGGACCCTAACACAATTGCTTTGTCAAAAGATCATGCCACATAAATAAAAGATGACATATGCTTTAGAATAGGATTACTTCACCAGATTTTCCTTTTTTAAAATTTAAACAAATATGTATTGAGCATTGACCAATTCATTTGGGGAAACCAAATTGACCAAATCATTCTTGTGATGAATGGTTCTAACACTGTGAATCAGTGTTAGGCTGTTTGCATCAGAATCACCAGAGAAGATCTTTTTGAATGCAGAGTCTCATACCCATCCTTAAAAACACTGATTTTTAGGTCTGTCTGGGGCCGGGAGGAGAAATCAGCATTCTAAAAACCTCCCCCCATGCTTCTGATGATCAGCTAGAACTGAGAAGTACATATAATAAAAAGAGTAGGGGAACTGGAGTAGAAATACCAGCTAATTTTTAATATCCACCCTTAAAATACTCTAAATCCAAATTGTATGATCTCTTTCATGAAACTTTCCTAGCATTTAAAAGATCCACTAGAAACAAAAAAGAAAATAAACCAGTGGGACTACATCAAACTAAAAAGCGTCTGCACAGCAAAGGGGACCATCAACAAAATGAAAAGACAGCCTACCAAATGAGAAGATATTTGCAAATCATATATTTAATAAGGAACTAATATCTAAGTAATATCTAAGATATATAAATCAACAACAAAAAAACCAAAGAACCCAATTAAAAATCGGCAGAGGATCTGAATAGACATTTTTCCAAAGAAGACATACAGATGGCCAACAGGCACATGAAAAGATGCTCAACATCACTAATCATCAGGGAAATGCAAATGAAAACCACAATGAGATACCACCTCACACCTGCTAGAATGGCCATCATCACAAAAGAATAGCAAATGTTGGAGAAGATACGGAGAAAAGGGAACTTTATACACTGTTGGTGGGAATGTAATTTGGTGTAGCCGCTATGGAAAACAGTATGGAGATTCCTCAAAAAATTAAGAATAGAACTACCATATGATCTAGCTTTTCCATTTCTAGGTATTTATCTGAAGAAAATGAAAATAATAATTTGAAAAGATATATGTACCCCTTTGCAGCTTTATTTACAGTAGCCAGGATATGGAAACAATCTAAGTGCCCAGCAACAGATGAATGGATAAAAACGTGGTTATACACACACACACACACACACACACACACACACAAACACACACACACACACACACACACACACACTATGGAATACTACTTAGCTATGAGCAAACATAAAATCTTGACATTTGTGACAACATAGATAGACCTTGATAGTATAAGTGAAAAATGTCAGAGAAAGACAAATGATTTCACTCATAAGTGAAATATTAAAAAATCAAAAATAAACAAACAAAACAAAACAAAAACAAACACATTAATACAGAGAACAGATTAGTGGTTACCAGAGGGGAAGGGGAGTAGAAGAGGGCAAAATGAGTAAAGGTGGTCAACTGCACAGTAACGAATGGAAACTAAACTTTTGGTCGTGAGCAGGTTGCAGTGTATACGTGAGCAGGTTGCAGTATGAAATATAATCTGCACACGTGAAACATATATATAATGTTATAAACCAATGTTATCTCAACTACAACAGAAAGAACCACTGGAGATATTAAGATTGCTATTAAGGTGTATCAGCACTTACGTACTGGCAGGTAATATACAAAAATCGTTACTATCCAAATCAGAAAAGTAATATAAAAACAAAATGCAATAGAACATATATTTATAAGCCTGTTAAGCCTTTTATAAAATATGAAAATTATAGGCAGAAATGAAGTCAGTCATTTAACAAAAGTGTTCTTCTTTTACTGTATAGGAAACTCAGTGTGAAGGGCCTTGAAAGGCAGCCACTAAAAAAGATAAGTGACCTTGGGATTACTTTTATGTACTAATTCCTAAGCTAGAAAGAGGCAATTGACAGATATACACTACTAAGTTTCACACCTGAAAGACTGTTATGGACATAATACTTTAAAAGAGATACAGACAACTTGGACAATAGTTACATAGGAATAACCAGAATAGTCTATGTACGAACTTAAAACCCTGCCACGTAAACCACAATGGGATATAACTACACACCTGTTAAAACAACCATCAAAAGAAAAAATAACCTGAGAATACCAGGCACTGGCAAGGATGTGGAGCAACTGGAACTCTCACACATTACAGAAAAAAATGCAAAACTATTCAGTCACTTCGGAAACAGTTTGGCAGTTTCTCATCAAGATAAACCTACATTTAGCATATAACTCAGCCATCCTGGTCCAGGTATTTACCCAGGGAATTAAAAACTTATATTCAAATAAAAACCTATATGCAACTGTTTATAATAGATTTAGTCATAATTGCCCCAAACTAGAAACCAGCAGGATGTTATTTAACAGATGAATGGATAAAATATATACCATGATTATGAAATACTACTCTACCATAAAAAGGAACAGACTTTGATTCACTCAAGAACATGGTTGAATCTTAAATGCATTTTGCTAAATGAAGGATGCAAAAAGTTACATATTTTATGATTTAATTTACATGACATTCAGAAAAAGGCAAATGTATAAGGATGGAAACAGACCAATAGTTGTCATGGGTTGAGGAAGAAGGGTTGACTAAAGAAAGAGGAAGCATGAGGGATTATGGGGTGATGGACCTGTATTCTTCAGTACTGTGGTGAACACATGGCTCTAGGCATTGGCAAAAGCCCACAGAACTGTACACAAGTTTATTCAAATTTTAAAAAGTACTCAGGATACGGGCATACCCCAAAGAATGGTAGAACCACTCTAAAGGAGATGGGAAAGTAATGAGTGCCATGGCCTAAGCAACTTTGGAAAACAAGATTTTGACTGGATACTGTAGAAAGCACTATACACAGTGTACTCTAATTGGTAAATTTGTTTCTCCCAGTGAAATTAGAGATTCTGAAACTACTTTACACATATATTAAGGGTGATAGATTAATAAATATATTATAGATACTGAGAGCCAGGATTCTCACTGCAGGTGAAAGAAACCACAAATAAGCAAAGGGAGAATGTAAATGAACCAGTTGATGTTGGCTTGGATGTATGAATATGAACTCATGTTTACTTTAATAGATATCCAGGTAGACAGGTACAGAAGTAAATTTAGTTGTGTGTGTATCCTGGGTTAGTATATATACATGTATCTCCTAGATGTTCTCTGAGAAAACCTAGGATCTGTGACTCCTGAGTAGCAAGGTGCACACCTAAGTTGAGATCTTGGTTTCTGAATAACAGTTTCCAGTAAAAGGAATCAGGTTTCCTTGGAAAAATGATTCCCGGGTTAGGACAGGAAAATGCATCTCAGGTGCTAGAAAAATAAAGAGATGTTCAACGCAAACCAACCAACAAACAAAAAATGGCAAGAACATATTGAAAGGAGCGAGAAGTCAACCTGAAGGAGTTCTCAATGATCAAAGCAGGAACTTGAGTCAAAAAATAAATGAAAATCGTATTGGCTATTAATCCCAAATAAAATAAATATCCATGAGTCCACATAAATAAACAATTGAATAAATAAACCAAAGTGGGAAAAGAGATATTCTTCCTTGAAGAATTCCAATTAATAAATGTAGAAGGAATAGAGGAAATAGAAAATCCCCACTAGAGCAGCAGAGTAATAACTGCTACAGGCAAAATCCACTGACAAATGCTAAAATTAGTAGATGAAAGTTTAAAGAAAAACAGAATTTTGCATCATCTCAAAGTATCTCCCCTAAAATATTTATTACTGTGATGTGATTAAGTCCCCCCCCACCCAATTCATATGTTGAAATTCTACCACTCAGTGTGATGGCATTAAGAGATGAGGCCTTTGGGAGGTGATTAAGTCATGAAGGCAGAGTCCCCACATGGGATTAGCACCTTTATAGAAGAGGCTCATGAGAGCCCTGCGAAGACACCATGAAAAGATTTCTCCTATGAACCAGGAAGCAGGCCATCACCAGACTCTGAATCTGCTGGTATCTTGATCTGGGACTTCCTAACTGCAGGAACACTAAGAAATAAATGTTTGTTTTTTATAAGCCACCCAGTCTATGGTATTCTGTTATAACATCCCAAATGGACAAAGACAGAAATGGGTACCAGAAGTGGGGTGCTGCTATAAAATTCCTTAAAATGTGAAAGCAGCTTTGGAGCTGGCTAATTACTAAAGGCTGGAAGAGGTCTGAAGTTCATGCTAGGAAAAGGCTACATTGCTGTTAATAGACCTTTAAAGACAATACTGGTAAGGGCTCAAAAAAAAGAGAGAGCTGTAGAAAAAGCATCAATAGTCTTAAAGAATACCGAAGTAATCCTGAATAGAACGTCAGTAGTAATATGGATGGTAAATGCCATTTTGACGAGGTATCAGATGGAAGTAAGGAACAATTTATCATACAGTGGAGGAAAGGCAATCCTTGCTAATAAAGTGGCAAAGAGCTTAGCTGAATTGCATTCATGTCCTAGTGTTTTATGGAAGGTAGAACTTGTGAGTAATGAAATTAGACATATGGCCGAGGCAATTTCTAAGCAAAGTGTTGAAGGAGAGGCCTGGTTTCTCATGACTGCTCATAACAAAATGCAAGGAAGAGAGAAATGAATTAAAGACAGAATTAATCAAAAGAGAAGCAAAACTTAAAGATTTGGAACATTCTCAGCCTACTTATATTTATATTGAAAAGTATGACACAACCTATACAGGAGAGAATAGGAAGTATATGCCCAAAGGATCATCTCACAGGGAGATCAGTCAGCCATCTAAACAGAAGATATGACCTATTATCCAAGACAATGGAAGAATGATCCCAAAGGCAATTCAGAAATCATCAGGGCTATCTCTCCCATCACAGAGAGCCCCGTTAGAGCAACAGCCCAGTAAATCCCTGGGGGCAAGGCTGCCCTTGTGACCCCAGACTAGACCAGCCACACAATTCAAACCCAGGGGAGTCACAGGCATGTCACCGAGCTCAGAGCCATCTTAGGAATGGGGCCACTCAAAGCCACAGGGCAGAGCCAACCAGAGCCTTGGGGGCCCAGCCCCTGCCAGGCAAAGCTCGGGGCAGAACTGCTGCCTCAGTGTGTCCAGAAGTGGGGCTTCTATCCCAGTGGGCCTGGACAGCAGAGGATACTCTCAAGATTTAAGGTCTAATAGCATTTGTCCCGTTAGGTTTCAGACTTGCTCAGGGCCTGTTACTTCTTTTTTATTTCCAATTTTTCCCTTTTAGAATGGGAATATCTATCCTATGCCTGTCCCACTTTTGTATTTTGGAAGCACAGAACGTGTCTGATTTCATACGTTCACAGAGAGCAATTTGTCTCAGAATGAATCAGACATTGAATCTCACCCATATCTGATTTAGATGATACTTAGATAAGACTTTAGAATTAAGACTTCAGAATTCTGAGTTGATGATAGAAAGAGTTAAGACTTTTGGAGCTATTGGGATAGAATGAACATATTTTGCATGCGAGCAGGACATAAACTGGTGGAGGGCAAGGAGCAGAAAGCTCTCTTCTGAATGTTTGTGTCCCCACAAAATTCGTATGTTGAAATTCTAACCTCCAAGGTGATGGTATTAGGTGGTGAGCCTTTGGGAGGTGATTAGGTCAAGAGGGTAGCACCCCCATGAATGGGATTAGTCTCTCCCCAAGAGAGACCTCTCACCCCTTCTGCCCTGTGAGGACACAGTGAGAAGACAGCCCTCTATGAACCACGAAGCTGGGTCTCTCCAGTCACCAAGTCTGCTGGCACCTTGATCTTGAACTTCCCACCCTTAAGAACTGTGAAAAATAAATGTGTGTTGTTTATAAGCCACCCAGTCTATGGTATTCTGACAGCTTGAAGAGACCACAATGTTAATTATGAAAGGAAAAGAGTGGTTTTGCAGCAGGGAACCTTGGTGAGTACCACATTAACCATGTGTTCAAGGTTAACATCCAGGTGACGAGATATACTGATAGTATGATCGGGTGATATCATGCACTGAGAAGGGTGCATCCTCTCTGTGGCATTCTTCCTCAAAATGCACAACCTCAATCTAATTATGAAAAAACACCAGATAGACCCACACTGAGTATATTCTATGAAATACCCAGCAAGTACTCATGTCCAGGTCATGAAGACAAGGGAAGACTGAGGAATTGCAATGGATAAGGAGATAGGACAAAACTGCAATGTGAGATCCTGAATTGAATCCTGAAACAGAATAAGGACGTTAGTGACAAAAACTGGTGAAATCCAAATAAAGTGTGTAGTTTAGTGATTTATATTGTACTAATGTTAATTTCTTGGTGTTGATACATGCACTATGATTATATAAGATGTTACCATTAGAAAAGCTGAATGAATGGCAAGTGGAAATTCTTCATGTTGTTTTGCAACTCTTGATTGCATGTCCTATTTCAAAATTAAAAAAAAAAATTAAAAGAAAAGAAATCTGCCCATGAAAAACAGCTGAAGGGGTGTGGGGGCAGATGGTAACCTGTCAAACAGAAGCTTCAAGGAAGTCATGAGGGCTGATTTTTAAAAATATGAAGGGATACCATGAAGAGGAGAGATTCAATTGGCTCAGTATTGGTTTAATTGGTAGAATTAGGACCAAGTTAGCAACTAGTCAGAAAAAATTGCAGCTCACTAGGAGATATCATAGGAGACAGAATGTTCCAAGGATGGAGTGGGTCATCTCGGGAGATGGTTTTGTATGACTGGAAGTGAATGAAGCAAGGGCTCGAAAACCACTCCTCAGGTACATTCTAGACAGGTTTTCTAACACCCTGCTCCTCAAAATGTGGTTCAGAGACTAGCATTACCCACGGCAGTATCACATGGGAGCTATCAGAAATTCAGAAATGCAAAATCTCAGGCCCCACCCATACCTACTGAAGAAGAATCTGTACTTTGCCATGGTCTCTAGCTGATTCATAGGCACAATGAAGTGTGAGTAGCACTGCTATAGGGGAAACTGAGACCATGGCCTTTAAAGGTACCTCCCAATGTGGTTCAGAGACTAGCATTACCCACGGCAGTATCACATGGGAGCTATCAGAAATTCAGAAATGCAAAATCTCAGGCTCCACCCATACCTACTGAAGAAGAATCTGTACTTTGCCATGGTCTCTAGCTGATTCATAGGCACAATGAAGTGTGAGTAGCACTGCTATAGGGGAAACTGAGACCATGGCCTTTAAAGGTACCTCCCAATGTGGTTCTTATATCATGGTAAAATTATGCATGACTCCAACATGTACTCAGTCATCAATTTGGTTTGATATTTAACTTTTAAACCACTTATGAAATGCTACACCTAATGATATAGCCTTTGAATAAAATATATTTGAATACTATTAATAAAACTATAAAATCAAAGGTCTGCTTAACTTAAAAGTAACTTTAAAAGTAACTTAAAAGTTTCTGAAGAGTACAGCTCAAAAATTACCTCTTCAAAGTAAGTTTTCATTTATCACATTATTTTTGCTATTATTTTTAAATTCTATACCATATTTGTGCCTTGTTTCCCACACACACATTTCCACTTCTCAAGGCAAACCCTAAATCAATCACACATTACATACATAAATAGAATTAAAATTCTTATCAGAACGGTAGAAGCTTCACAGGGATTTAATATTGCTTTAAAATTATTTATGCAAATGTGAAGTGCATAAATAACATTGCTACAAAAAAGCATGTCACACACGGATCGTAAATAGCTTTTACATTTCTTACTAATAATGCAAAAAATCAGAAAATACCTTCTGTGTTTTTTAAGCCATAATTTTTCCATGTAGGATAGACTGTCTTCTTTAAATTCAATCATAAGTGGTTCTGTCCAAATTCTCAGATTAGTTTGTACTTCACATTCTTCCAATGACTCTATAAAAATAAACATAATATGCATAATTAAGGTAACCTAGTCTACAAATTACCACATCTTCTCTCAAGATATAGAACTCACCATTTTTGAGGCAAATGTGCTTTGATATTTGTCTGTATAATCAATAGTTCTAGGCTTAAATGATGCAAAAGTGTTAAATATTGGTGATTTATTATATTACTGTATAGATAGTTTTCTTCAATAATTTCTTGAAATGAAAAAAATCTTATGATTCACAAGGTTTTTTAAAGCAACTAATTATTTTACACGATAAAGATAAATACAAATGGATTCATTATATATTCTATAAATGCACACACACATAAAGGTACGTGTTAGAGCCACTGACAATAATATTTACACATTATGGGAAACAGAAAATAAATAACTCAAAATGGCACCTGGAGGAGACAATTGTCCTCATGAATTTATATCTACATGGCAACTTACTTCCAGATGCTTAAGATGTTTCTGAAGTACTACTACATTAAAACCACCATTCAAAGATATTTAAAACTGATGGAGATTTCTGGGAAAGAAAGCAGCATAAATACAGAGTTACTAGTCTCTCCACCCTCCTAGATATTAGCCCTCTTTCCATAATGACCACAACAGGAGGAAAAATGTGGGAGAAGATAGAGAAGTAGTAAAGAGGGAAACAATTATTTTTTTATAGACTGAAACTAGAGAATAATCCCAAGCTCATACTGCAGCCTTTAATAAATAGCTTTTAGAAACAGCCAAATGCCAGCAATAGAAATAAACCAAAAGAATGTAAGTCATCCACTCCTATTCCTCCCAAAGTGTAGAGCAGTGCTGAAGAAAGCAACTGGAGGATGTTCTGGGAACCACCATCAGAATGCATGAACTGAAAGAGTAGGAGTCAAGGACAAGAGCAAGTCATAGAAAAAAGGAGAGCCCTCCACCGTGAGTCCTCCTTTTCATAAGAAAACAAAATATTTCCCGGCAGGGAAGCTGAAAGAGAAAAAAAATGAGGACTCACTTTTTTTTCTGTCCAGGTCATGGAGAAGAGTCTCTTGGCTTGAGAGATAACCCCCAAGTCTAGAAGGGTGATGAGGAGGAAGGAGATGAAGCAGCTGACCTGGGACTCACTCTTCTCCCATCACCAATGGCACATTCTCAGGAAATAAATATGGCAGGTAGCCTGGGTTAACTTGCTTGTGAATATGCTAATAACTAGACTTTCTGGCAAACAGATTAATATTTTCTAGAAAGAGAGACTTTAGCTACGTAATGCATTCAGCAGGATAAGCTTTGTTTCAAATTGCTTACATAAAGCAAATCTAGAACACATGGATTCATGAGTCATGTCTCCCTGAACAATGCCACACAAGCTATGGAACTGAGGTTCTGGTTTGCTCCCTTGTTTAATGGTTCTCTAGCTACCTTTTGTGTGAAGTTGTGTAAGACGTCCCATTGTTCATATTGAAGGGATGATGGGTGTTTTCCTTAATAGACAATGCTTTTAAAAGTCTTAAGGTAAATTTGCCCAAGGTATTTAAGGAACAGCCAGGAGGCCAGTGTGGCTGAAACAGAACAAGCCAGGGAGAGAGTAATAGGAAGTGAGATCACAGAGATAGGGACTTCAGATTACATTGAACCTTCTAGGCCATTGTAAGTATTTGCCTTTCACACTGAAGGAAATGAAATTACAGTTCACTAAAACGTAATCAAGTTAGAAATCAATAACAGAAATCACTAGAACACTTGAAAATTCAAAGCTAATGGCCAAGAAACACAGGAAAACATACTCAATGTCATTTGTAATGAGGTACACAAATGAAATATACAATTTCATCTCTATCAGACCAGCGAAAATTTTTAAAAACTGACAGTTAAAGTGTTGGTGATAATGGGAAGCAGCCAAACCATTTATATACTGCGGAGAGGAGTATAAACTAACACAAATACTCTGGTAAAAAAATTCAGGTTAACCTAGTATAGTGAAAGACACAGACACCCTATGACCCAGCTATTCTGCTCCCAGGAAGAGACACCTAGAAATGTGTACACATGTGTATTAGGAGACCTGTGCAAGAATATTCAAAACAGCAGTGTTTGCTGGGTAGGGTTAAGGGAATAAGTGATGTTGAAGCACTCAGAAACTAAAAATAATGGAAAGCTGTTACCAACCCTAGGCTTGAGAGGACAAAGTAGGAGAAATTTGTAAGAAGTCATTGAAAGCAAGGGCTGTGGATGAAAGGTCATCTAAGTGCTGCTCTGTAACATAAGTAGAAAATGCAATCACTGCAAAATCTCAGCATATCAAGGAGAGGAAAAGTAAGTACTTCTACCTCTTTCTTACCCCAAATGGGAATCAACCTAAACAAACATCAATATTTAAACAGGTAAACAGTGGTGTAGTCATATAAAGAAGACTTTTAAGCATAAGACTCTTAAGCAGGGAAAATGAATGAAATACAACTATGCACATCTTTATGGGTAAATCTCAGTAAATTATGTTGAATAAGTTAAACAGGTTGAAAAAGAGTACATATACTAGTTTTCCATTTACACAATGTTTAAATACATGCAAATTTAACAATATATTGTTTAGAGATACACACATGCAGTAAACTGCAAGGAAATCAAGGGAATGAAAAAATACAAATCCAGGCTAGTGATAATCACTTAGAGGGGAGGGAAGAGGAAGAGAACAGGTTCTTATTGTTTTGTTTTTCTCCATAAGGTATATAAATTTTATAAATGTTCTTTTCATCTGCTTAATATCTTAGGGAAAGGAAAATATTTACAGACACATACATATAATATACACGCACATAAACAATCACATTTATAATACTCTGAGGCAAAATAAAATCACATATTATATCAACTGAAGTCCTCATCTTAATGATTTCTCCATGGCAACCACACTGTTGACCTCATTTCTTTACTTAAAAACACTGTCCTCCATGGGTTTTTATGATAATACACTTTACCAACTTTCCTCCTATACCTATGCCACACTTTGTCTTGTTTGTAGCCTTGTCTTTCCAAGCCACTAAATGTAATTCCTCTCTAGCTTGTTGTGCTACAACCTTGCTCTCTGAGGTCCAGCCATGCACATCTACCTTCAGTTCCATTAACACGATATGCTCTCTTCATCATGGAGCCTTTGTACATTCTAATTTGTCTCCACTCTCCAACTCATTTTCTAGACTTCAACTTGAATCTTGGCTTCTTAGAAATCCCTTTTTAATTATCAGTCAGGGTTCTGACAGGAAAGAAAAAACTCAAAGGGGTAATTTGAAGAAGATCAAATGAAGGGACTAACTTATAATCATGTTAAGGTTAAGGGAACAAGTGATGTTGAAGCACTCAGAGACTAAAAATAGTGGAGAGCTGTTACCAACCCTAGGCTTGAGAGGACAAAGTAAGGCAAGTGTTGTAAGTAGTCATGGAAAGCAATGGCTGTGGATGAAAGGTCATCTGAGTGGAGCTAATGATATATGCAGACAAAGCAGTAACTGCAAAATCTCAGCACATAAAGGAGAGGGAGAGTGAATACCTCTACCTCTTTCTTCTCACCCTTCAATGTTCTGCTAGTGTCTCCAACTGGTCAAACCCAACCAGAAGCCAGAGAACAAGGGAGTTCACGTGATGCAGCCTCTAAAGATCACCCTCTAGGGGCACAGAGTAGGGCAGAAATGGGAAAGAACGGATCTGGAGAGACAGAGTCTACTTAGTTTGCATCTAAGCATCCATTTGTCTGTCTGTCTCTTCCTCTGAAAACAAAACAAAACAAAACTAAACTAACTCATGTCTGAAGCACAGGGAACACAAAGTTCTACCGCCACTATGTATCAGAGGGAGATTTCAATTTAGTGATACTCCCAACTAAATTTAAATGTTAGATACCAGTAGTATGTGTCATATTAGGTATCAGGAAAAAGAGAGGAAAAAAAAGAAACAATTACTCAATATAAAACTTAGCTGCCATGGTTCTTCATTTTGTAGCTGGTTTTGAAGCCTACCTTGATTTGTTTACCATAGCTTCCTTCTCTCACCACCTATTCTGTTTACCTTACTGTCTGCCAACCCCTTTTACCTAGTAGAGTGACTAAAATCTTCATTCTCAAAAGATTCAAGTCCATAGAAGCCCTCTTTTCATTGGCTTGCCACATTTTTCCAATGAACATTATTACTGGACACAGAAAAATTAAGTATGCCACTGAATGGTTTGCAGATGAAGTCTATCTTTTCTTTATTGTATGATAACAATCTAATTGTTCCTTCATACTTGTGCTCAAACAACATGGTCAGTACAGTGACCCTTCCTGACTATTAACTCAGTGCTGATGAGCCCCAAATGGCAGTGGGTAGTCTCAGCTTCCTGTTTAATGGAAGTTTTGCCAGAGTTTCATGTAATATAGAGCCCCTTGTAGGAAAAGCACCCAAACTCACAAGATGTTGTTTCTCAGCTGGAACCCATACTGAACCTTTAGCAGGCCATTCCACAAAACTATCAAGCTAGCTGGATAGTGCTGCACATGGTAAGATGAGTGAATTCCATGAGTATGAGCCTATTCCTATACCTTTTTCATAATAAAATGAGTGTCTTGATCTAAGATACTCATTGTGTAAGACACCACAGTGACAAATAAAGCTTCTGCTGGCAGATACACTACAGGAAGAGAAGGCAAATCCTTTTCTGAAATATGTAGCTTTTCCCATGAGGACAAATTACTGCCCTACCCATGATGGAAAGGGTCCAATATAATCATTCTGTAACAGATACTCCCTGTTCACAAAATCCACTTAGCATCATGCCATCAATCTAATGGGCGAACATTATCTTTTGTGCAATAGCAAGACAATCAAGGTTCTTTGGGACTATATAATGCTAGAAAGCTGGAGAGCTAATGTAGGTCTGAAGCAAGACTGTGAAGGTATACTGTAACCCATATGATATCAAACCATCTCTGGCTATATTTATTAATAGAAATAGAAAAGAATACATCTGATATGTCAAGGAGCAGTAAACTATAGCCCTTGGGCCAAATCTGGCCCACTGCTTTTGTATGGCTTTCAAGCTAAGAATGGTTTCTACATATTTTAATGGCTGAAAAAACATCAAAAGAAGGATAATATATTGTGACATGTGAAAATTATGTAAAATTCAAATTTGTATCCATAAACAAGGTTTTATTAGAAAATAGTCACACTCGTTTGTTTATATATTGTCTTTCATGATACAGTGGCAAAGTTGTATGGCCCTTCTGAATGGCCCTCAAAGCTTAAAATATTTACTATCTGTCACCTTACAGAAAAATCAACCCCTAGGCTAGGTCAATAGCTGTCTCCCTCCTCCAACCATGGAGAATGTGTTGGTTTTCTCCAGCAAAGACACTACATCCAGAAAAGCAACTGTGACCTGTATCATCGTCATCGGATCAAGTTTAATCTGTAGTCATTTTCCAAGATCATTGGCTTTTGTACCAAATAAGTAAGTTAAATGGAAATATAATAAAAAGCAGTATTCCTGCATCTTTCAGGTCTTTGATGCTGGCATTAATCTTTGCAATACCCAGGTATTGCTTCTGGCATGGTATTTTATTAGCATGGACATTGGCAAGGGAGGGAGACAGTTCTAGGGTCTTCTACTTACGTACTACCATAACATCCTTCATGCCACAGGTCAGACCATCAACATAGGCATTATTCCTGTTACTAAGTATATCCGTTCACAAGAATCAAGACTGGAAAAATAACCACATAATGGTCCCACAGTCCCAATGCACTGTGAGACAGAATAAAGACAAGATTCTATCTATCATTCCACTTCCATAAATCTCTAAGACTGACTGGTGGATTATGGTGGCACTTAGGGTCTCCAGGGTGTCTAACTGTCAGTTCAGACCCAGAATCTAATAACCCCTCTGAAGGTCTGGGCATTGCCTTTCCTCAGTGCATGTTTATCCTGGTAAATAGCCATAAATTCTGTAGTGAAAGCTTAGAGGAAGATTCATAGTGTACCCTGTGACCACACTACAAAATCCTGCAAAAGGACCCAGCCTCTACCTCAAGGGGCTTCAGATTTGTGGTGTGGCTTAGGGCTGAGAACTTTATAATAAACTCTGAATTCCCAATATGGTAGCTCAAGTTGGGTCTCTGTGCATCAGGATGGAAATTTTCTACTCAGATAGGAAAAACAGGAGTCTATACAAACTTTTTCATTCTTATGTACTCCAATTAGTACCACAGATCTCTGTGAACTGAAACAATCTAATTACTAGTCTTCCTTGCCCCTTATTTTGGTAATTTTTCCACTATAACTTTGATAATTATATGCCAACATCTGGCCTCTACTATTCCAGGTTTCCATGATTCCTTTGAAATCAGGCAGTTCAATTCCATTTAAGCATCTTTATCCACAATCTTCAGCCTATAGAGGAAAGCTACAACATATCAGTTCTTCCATATTTCTATAGAAGACTTAATCCTTTTCAGAGGAAAAAATACATTAAAATGTGAAAGCACAAATAAAAGAGCACATAAAATAACATAGTCAATGAGAGTTATGTTGATGTACATGCTAAAACAGGGTATACAAATAAAGTCTCGGAAGTATTAACAAAATTGATGTATCATGAACAAATGTAGGAAAAATATTTGAAAGAGAGAATATTATTTAGTAAAAAATCATATTTTAATTGGGAATAAGGTGTGTGATATCTTGACATTAGGAATTATACTATGTTACAAAAGAGGACTAATCAGGAGAGGTCCTTCACTGGGAAAAAAATGAAATAAAAATCATAAAATTGAATGCTGTCAACTAAGTTACATGATTTAAGTTTATTATCTAATATTTTATTTTTAATGAAAAGCAATTGGAAGCCTCAACAAGATTCTGAGTAATAAAATTAATAAATGAATACTTCTAAAGGTATGATTTCCCTCAAAAGGTACTGGGAAACAAAGAAAAGACACTGTACGCTTCGGTCATCCAGATCTTCAATGTCTAGAATATGGGTGTGAAAATTACCAAGGAAAAATAAAAACAAATATTTCTTCAAAAAGAAAGAAAAACAAAAGACAAATTAATTATCCCCCTGAACTTCACAGCAGTCCCTGAAATATATTTCTCAAGACACATACAAGAAAATTCTCTATTCCTCTCATCTCATAGATCGTCCTGTTTTATGGGTTGTAATTACAGTTCAATAAAGGAATAGTTGTTCTGACAAAACTTTCTGCTAGAAGAGGAGCTGAGAGAATCTAATTCTCTATTCATGTGACAGCTTGAATTTACGTAGGAAACAAAGGCAAATATATCCCCAATGCCCAATTCAGGGGGTCATAAATATTAAACCACTAAACCAATGGTCATAGAGTGACTACTCCTTTGAAGAGTTATATCAAACTACTATCCCAATGTTTCAGTGTTTCTGAACACTGCATTTATATTCATGGAGAATGGAGATAAAATAAATTCAGCTTTATTTTAAAGCATTCATTTTATTTAAAAAAAAAAAAAAGCGGTACCTGGTTTTGCTGCATGTAACTTCTGTTTCTCATTGTCATCATGATGCCCAGTTCTCCATTGCTTTAGAACTTCTTGAAAGGACTGGGCAGGAGCTTGTTCAACAAATGGCCCTTCACACAAGAGCCTATCTCCTGTATTTGCACATTCTTCTTTTGTTGTTGAAAGTTCTACCTAAAACAATTAATAGTGTATCTAAGTATGCTTTACTAAATGTTTTGTATCTTACAATACAGGTAGCACTAATTACTGAGAATTGTGAATCACACATTATTTTTAAACTTAGAATAGAATGTTTTTAAGTTGTACTTATTTATGTGCTTTACTGATTTCTTTAAAACTATAGACAGTTTTAAACGGTCTCTTCAGTAAGTGCTAAAACTAGAGCCTACAGGACTGAGGGTTTATCATTAAGTTATCCACCAGTGTTTTCCCTGGAAAGCAGTGATAAACTTGTATCTAATCCTACTTCTCCAGTCGCCTGTTCCCTGCAACCTCCCCACAGCAGAAAGAACAGTTTCTTAACATGTAAATCTGATGTCACTTCTCTGCTCCAAACCCTCCAATGACTCCCTGTGAAACCCTCAGTTCCTACTAGGACTTACAAGGCTGTACACAACCTTGCACGCCCCTCCCACTTCCTTTAATTCTCCCCTTCATTCACTCTGCTCCAGCTAAACTTATCTTCTTTCAGTTCTAGGAACTCATCAAGCATATTCCACTCGAGGGCCTTGCGCTAGCTATATCCAACGTCTGGGATGGTCCCTCTTCATATCTTCACACAGCCATTCCACTCATTTAACTCGGTCTTGGCTCAAACGTCACATACTCAGAGAATAGGTGATGACGCTACTGATGACCCTAAAGACAAAGCCCCTTTCTCCCCAACTTTCCAATCTCTTATCTGCTTTATTTTTCTCTCAATAACTTATCTCCATGGGAATTTACTCTACATGTTTGTTTATTGCTGGTCTCTCCCCATTAGAATGTTAATAGGATCAGGAATGTTGTCTGTTTCCTCAGTGCCAAGAGTAGTGCCTGGCACAAAGTAGGTGCTCATTAAAAGTTAGCTGAATGAATGGACAAATTAATGAATGCAGATGAAACACTGCCTGCTTCTCAATGTAATGATGGGGGGAAAGGATGAATTCCATACAAAATATAGATCCACTGTGAACACACAGAAGAAAATAAAGGTAGGATTTGGCAGTTATCCAGTGAATCAGAGAAAACAGCCAAATTAGGAAACTAAAGCAAAATAAGTTCCGCGCCAATGCTGAATTATCAAATGTGGATTACCTACACTGATGAAATTGCTAAATCTCCATGTGTATCTTCTAGATACAACAGTAGAATCCTCTGTGTTCAGCCCTTAATTGCAAAAAACCAGGCAGATTGTCAGAGGACAACTGAGAGAAAATCGTTAAATATATGCATATATAAAATTCAGTATAAACAAAAAGCATCTGGAACCTACAGACACTATGCTAGTCGTTGACACAGAAACACAGAAATAGAAATAGAAGCAAAGAGCAGGAATTTAACTCAGATAAACGAGAATCCTATGGACAAAAAAGTGGCAGGGGCAGTATTCCGGAGTGAGAGAATGGTATATATGTTAAGGCATTGAGTTAAAGAACACAGTGGCATGGAACTGTATGCAGTTGTGTTGCTATAGCAAAAAGTGGGATATGAGAAAATATAAAGGGTGGAAAGACAAGTAGGGGCAGATTGTAAAGGATCCTGCCTGCCATCCAGAGAAAATTACACTTAAACATATTGGAAATGCAAACCTACTGAAGAGCCCCACCCAGTAGCTACTGAAGAGTCCCACACAGTAGTGTGGGAGAGAAAGAAACTGGAGAACAGTGAGTTTGGATGCAAGGAAACCAATTAAAATTTACATCCATTTCTCAATATCTATCAACATTACAAATGCATAACCCTCTTCACCTAAGAATTTTAGGATTTTATCTTATGGATATACTCATATATATGCAAAACAATATTTTTCAAAATTATTTTTATACTATAGTTTACACTGGCAAAAGACAAAACAGTATAAATGCTGATCAGAGAAAACATAGTTTAAAAGTTATTTTACATCCAATACATGGAGTATTTTACAACCACTATATAGAATGAGAAGGCTGTGGAATACACTTATATGGATAGCAAAACTACTGTTTAGTGTAAAAAGCATGTTTGCAGAGCAGTATGCAACATACTAATATTTGTGTTAAGAAATACATACATACAAAAGTAGAATAATTATTAACTTCTAGAAGGGGAGAAAAGAAAATGCACTTTTCACTTTATAGACTTTTTGCACTTTAAGCAAAAGCTAATTTCAGTATTTGGAATAACAATAAGAATAGAAGTGACCAAATATTCAAGAGTTTTCAGACGGTTTTAAGATGAGATGTGGTAACTGATTGGATATGCAAAGGAGAAAAGAGAAATGACTATAGAAAATAAATGTTCCTGGGCTTCCCTGGTGGCGCAGTGGTTGAGAGTCCGCCTGCCGATGCAGGGGACACGGGTTCGTGCCCCGGTCCGGGAAGATCCCACATGCCGCGGAGCGGCTGGGCCCGTGAGCCATGGCCGCTGGGCCTGCGCATCCGGAGCCTGTGCTCCGCAACGGGAGAGGCCACAACAGTGAGAGGCCCGCGTACCGCAAAAAAAAAAAAAAAAAAGAAAGAAAGAAAAGAAATGTTCCTGCTGGCTTGGAAAGCTAGAAGAGAGGCTGCCACCAACTGTAACATCCATAGGTTTTGGAGAAGACATGATGAATTTCGTTTGGAAATACCGAGTCTTAGAAGTATGTGGGAAGGTATTTACTGGTGCTCAGTAAGCAATATGTGAATGCGTGTGTATATGTATGCTGCACTCATGAAGATGCACTGAAAACTCAGTGCTTAATACAAAATGAGTCAAGTATTCTGGTGATTCTAGCAGCTTTCCAGGGCAGCTCCTTTCCAAGCAATGAATCAGAGACATTTGCATTTTACAGCTATGCCTATGGAATACTTGGCTTCCACACAGCGGTGGCAGGATAGGAAAAAGCCAGAGGATAGTACATTGGCTCTTAAATGTTTCAGCTCAGAACTGTCATATTTCACTTCCACTCAGAGCACATCAGGACCCTGCCCGATTCTACAGGGGCTAGGAAATTTGAAGAAGCACATGGAATCCAATGCTGTGCATCCATTACCCCTGTAGGCTACATGATACCCCACAAAATACGTTTTAATATCCCCACTTTCCAGAAAAGGAAACAGAGGATCAAAAGGCTAAAGTAAACTTCCCGATGTTACAAAGCTAGAAAACCAGAGTCAGGATTTCAAACCCAGGTTTCAGTCTCTAAAATGAAAGTTCTTTCATGAACTGCACCCATTTCCAAGGATATCCACTGGCTTGAATCCATAAGAAAAGTCCTAAGACAGATATCAGGCTTTAGCAACATTTTGACTCTTCCAGGCATTCAAATTGCTTGGTAAGCCAATTAAAAATCAGATTCCTGGGCCCAACCTAGATGTAAAAAAAATCGAAGTTTGAGTGGCAGGCCAGGAATGCACATTTTTTACAAACTTACCCAGTGATTCTGATGCTTATTGCAGTTGGAGAACCTCTGCTCTTCAGCACAGAGTAGTACCAAGCATATGAGGGGGATATTTCTTTAGTGTGTGCACTGTGTACAGGTGCACACCTGAGGGTCGACAGCAGGGATGCCCAGGCAGGACTACTCACCAGAATGACTGAGCAGGTGTTAAAACCACACATCTGGACCCACCCAGAGAGATGCTAAACTCAGTCATGTGTGTTTCTCTAATGTTTCTCCAGTTGATTATAATGTGCATTCCTGGATGAAACCACTGAATTAATGGCTTTTAAGTTAAGACCAGGGGTGGAGGGTCTATACAGCATACACAGTTACCGATGGGGACAAGAGGCAGCATTTATTTTAGGGATTAAAAGAGCAGGCAAAAGAGTAGCTCTGTAGCTTTCTAGTAGAGCTAGTTACTTAAATCCTCTCTGGCTTTCTCATCTGTTAAGTGAGATAATAATGTAAAACTTATATGGTTATTTTGATTATTGGATAAGATAAAGCAATTAAAGGATTAAGCCTAGCATACAGTGTTTAATAAATGTTAGCTGTTGATTTATCACTATTTTTATTGGTAGGATAAATTAGATAAAATGGCAGGCATGAAGGAGAAATCCTTAAAACCATAGCCTCTGGGTAATGGTTAAAAGCAGGTAATTTGGGGTCATAAGGCCTGGGTTCAAACTGAAGTTCCACTATCAATGATATCTTGGGCAATTAAAAAAAACGCTTTGCCACTATTTTCTCATCTGAAAAAAAAGAAAAAAATTTTAAAAGGGTAAAAAGAGATAATACACGTGAAATATGTAGGATGGTGTCTGGCACATAGTCGGTCCTCAGTACATTATTATTCTAATAAGACTGTAACTCATTCAGTGATTATTCACAAGCACCCTTGGCAGGTCTATTAGTGAAATTCATGCCAAACTGCTAACCTTCCTGGACAATTCAAGTATAGTTTCTCCGCTGTAAAGAGGGCCTACTACCATAGTGCATGTTTTCTTTTATGTTCTCTGAGCAAAGGTTAGGAACTCACGGGACTGAAGTTCAAGTCTGATTCTGTCACAAAGTAACAAGCTGTGTGACTCTGGCCAAGCTACTATTTCTGAACTACAGTGAAAAGGCTAGTGGCATCTAAAAGAATGAGGATTATTAATTACAAGGATCAAAATTTGAGGAAGTTTCTTTCTTGCTAAAGAATCAATACAACAAGTCTATTATTAAAACACAAACATGAGCTGATGAAAGCTTATCTAGTACATCATAGGATCAGTAATCAATCTGAATGACCACACAATTTGGTATAAATCTGATTTTAAATAACTGTGAAATTGCCTCTCACCTAAAACACTTGGCAAGGTTTTGTATTTTTAGCCTCTCTGAGATCCTGATTAATATAAAATTGTTATATTGCATTGTGGGTTTTTTTTTATATTTCTCCCAAATATTCATTTCCTGATGTGGTGAAAATGCCTGGAAAGCAATATGATCAAAGGATCATTCATCAAAAAACTAGTAGCCAGAGAACTCAAAGCAATCTCTTTAAAAGGATTTTTACAGTGAAAGTGTTTCTGATTAATAAAAAAACAAATTCATATTAACCAACAATGTGATCAAATAATCTCCAAAACTCTACAGCTCTACTTGAGTATATGAATGACAGTTTCCATGATCATGTATGACAGAAAATGTCTACTATATTTTCCTCAGCTTACCTCAGAGCTGCTCCCCTGAAGAAGAAGAGATTTGGTTTTATGCTGACTTTCACTAATCCCTTTTGTAGAATGATTCTCCCCTTTGGGTTCATCCGGATTAACTTTCTTTATAAACTGATGGGCAACATCCAATAGATTGGATAATACTTGAGATTTTGCCTATAAGTAAACAAAATAGGAATAAAAAGCCTAATATGTCATCTTAACTAATTTATTTATATTAAATCCTGTTTTCATTATTCTATGACTAATAAAATTCAATGCATTTTATTTAATATTTAATAATACAAATTGCCATTTACATCAACCATATAATAGTGACAGCTGCCAACTACTGAAGGGCTAGTTTGAGCTCATACTATCCTAAGTATCTTAAAAACATGTTATTTAATCCTCAACTCTAAAGCATAACTATTTTTATCATTGTTTTAGGGATAAAGAAAGGAAAGTTTTGAGGGTTTAAATAACTTGCCCTTGGTCACATGGTGAGTGGGTGGCAGAGCTGGGAAGTGACCCCAGGTGTGTATAATTCTAATGACTCCTAGCCTTTCCACCATATCGACCCTAAATAGGTAGGTGTGCTATTTTGCGCACATCATAGCTAAAGAACTAAATATAATCTAGCGGGAGCCTGAATAAGCCGTAATGAGTATTTTGTTGGTGATAAAACATCTTTAGAAAGTATCAACTACTCAAAAGTGCACATCCAGAAGTGCCCTAGCAAACTCCAAGTTGTTCTTCTCACCATGTCTTTGTTCATGAGTTTCACTTACCAGGAAGGCCCTCCCTCCTCTATTATCTTCTTTGCTGGGCACACTCCTACCTCTCCTGCTAGATTCACCCCAAGTTACTCCCATGGGTCTAGGCACCTCTCCCTGCCGCCCTCCCACAGATGCACGAGGCGCCCATTCTCTGCACCCTCTTCCTACACTGAGGAGATCCCTACCAGCCCACACAGTATTGATTTTATATCATCTTTTGATGTCTGTCTACACCATAAAAGTTCACAGAAGAAAAACATCATGTCTTCTTCAATCTTTGTGTGGTTACCACAGTGCCTGGTAAATAGCATATGGCAAAATAACATAAAAATAAGGTGTTGGGGGAGGGAGAGGGAGAATTACAGAATTAGAATAAATAACTGGGAAACAAGAATTCAAAAAGCCTTTTCAAGTGCCTTCAGAGTGGCTGGAAAAGAACAGGCAAATCTCAGGAAGGCCCTATTCTCTAAAGGACTTCCCATCGGCAATAAGCCTGGTTTGCCCAAGGAGACCCTGCAGGATTCTGGATCCCATCTGAGCTTGAACCAAACAAACTCCAGAGGGAAGATGCAGGCACTTCGGAGACTCTCTGAAAACCTGACATTAGGAACACAAGTAATAGGTCTTACTTCTTAGCAAATGTTCTCAAAATAGAGGAAAACTTCAGCAGGGGTCAGAAATGATTATTTTATACTCTCCCATGAAAATGTGCCTATTTTAAAATTTTCATCTAGCTACCTATTTAAATAGCTAAGACTACTTTCCAGTTATGATCTTTAGTAAATCTATTAAGATTCACTGCAATCTGATTCTGGAATAAATCAGTGAACATCAAATTAACTAGTGTTACTTCATACTGAATTAATAAATTTATCTATGAAAAGTGACTAAAATGACCAATGCACACATATTGCTGTCCATATACAAACCTATGGCATCTGCTCCAAATTTTCCCAAAGATCATCAAAAAGCCTTTACAGACCTAAGCAGTCCTTATTTTTAAAAGAAATTCATATTTATAATACAAAATTGTTGTCTATACTCATACTGTGCATTAGATCCCCATGGCTTATTTACTACTTGTTGCAAGTGTGTACCCTTAAACATCAGTCTTATCCCCTTCACGGCCCCATCCCCTGTAAACACCATTTTGCTGTTTTTTATTAGTCTGACTTTTTGGATTCCACATATAAGGGATATCATACAGTATTTGTCTTTCTCTGTCTGACATATCTCACTTAGCATAATGTGTTCAAGGTCGATCCATGTTGTCACAAATAGCAAAAGGATATCCTCCTTTCTCATGGCTGAATGATATTTCATTGTGCATATATACCACATCTTTTTTATCCATTCACCTATTGGTGGGCATTTAGGTTGTTTCCATATCTTAGATATTGTGAATGATGCTATATAGGAGTGCATCTATCTCTTCAAAATCCTGTTTTAATTTCCTTTGGCTATATATCCAGAACTGGAACTGCTGAATCGTATGGTAGATCTATTTTTAATTTCTTGAGGAAACTCCATATTATTTTCCATAGTGGCTGCACCAATTTACATCCCCACCAACAGTGTACGAGGGTTCCCTTTCCGCCACATCCTTGCCAGCACCTGTTGTCTTCTTGAGGACATTACTTGGTTTGGGGTTAGTGGAGATTATAAAGAGGCACAAAGGAACATTTGGGAAGTGATAGAAATACTGTGTATTTATTTATACTGAAGATTACACAAGTGTATTGTAATGTATTTTCAGAACTAATCAAGCTGCACACTTCAAAGGAGTGCATTTTATACAACAATGTGAACATACTTATCACTGCTGAACTTAAAAATGGTTAAGATGATTATGTTTACATTTTTTGTATTTTACCACAATTTTTAAACAATGTGGACACAGAAATAATGTGTGATTATATTGTTCATAAATTAAACCTGAATAAACTTGATTTATCAAGAAAAAAGGAAATTAAGCCAATGGTAATGTTTCATTTTTCCAGAAACATCTGCATTTTAACAAATATTTTTTTAAGAGAAGAAATCCAATTTAACCTGATTTTAAATTCCCTAGAACAAAGTACTATTGACTTCAAAGGTGGTTAAAATTTCTAGTTTATATTTTAAAAAATATCAAAAAACAATAGTATTTTATATAAAATTATCAAGATAGAATTAACATTCAAATATATATATACATATTTAAATAGCATAGAACAAAGATTATTTCTGTCCTAAAATGAATCTTGCTATCAATGATTCCGTAATTTTTATAACAGTTTTAGGTAGCATATTAAGAGACCCTTAAATGGCCCAAAACTGATTTTATTCTTAAGTTAAATTTAGTGGGCTTCCCTGGTGGTGCAGTGGTTAAGAATCTGCCTGCCAATGCAAGAGACACGGGTTCGAGCCCTGGCCCGGGAAAATCCCACATGTCGCGGAGCAACTAAGCCCATGTGCTACAACTACTGAGCCTGTGCTCAAGAGCCTGCAAGCCACAACTACTGAGCCCACATGCCACAACTACTGAAGTCTGAGCACCTAGAACCCGTGCTCTGCAACGAGAAGCCATGACAATGAGAAGCCCGCGCACCACAAGGAAGAGTAGCCCCCGCTCACCACAACTAGAGAAGGCCTGCGCTCAGCAACAAAGACCCAACACAGCCAAAAATAAAAACAAACAAATAAATAAATTTAGTGCTAAAAAATAAGATAAATATCATGAATAACTGATAAATTGGAATCCTATATCTAAATGTCTTAAGATTCCATTAATTCAACATAAATAAAATGCCAATAAATGTGAATTTTTTTTCCCATGACACCTTACATTTAAATATTACTCTTCTTGGTTGTTAGAGTGTATATGTATACTCATTTTTCTCATTCTTAAAAGAATTTTACAAGGAAAGTGAACAGAATTGTGATCCCCATTACTTAGACAAGAAAACCCAAGCTCATAAAGCTTAGGTCAAAGCCAAGTGGATACAAAACGCTGCGGCCTGAGTTAGAATTAAGGTCTTCCTTCTTCCAGCCTAATCCCTTTTCCCTACCAAGTTATGTTAACACAGGAAATGTGTTTTACTTTTGACTTTCTGAAACTTAAAATTATTCAATTTTATCTCTAATAATGGATATGAACATTGTTCCTTCCATTTAACAAAACAAAACTACATATATCGTGAAATGTTTACCACAATAAGTTTAGTGAACATCCATTATCTCACATAGATACAAAATTAAAGAAATAGGAAAAAAAATTTTCCTTATGATGAGAACTCTTATGATTTACTCTCTTAACAACTTTCATATATAACATTGATATATACAACTGCTTGTGCAGAGATTAGATTGTTAAGTCCTTGTTTTTAATTACATTTATTGTGCTTATTTATTTTCATGTTTGACCAAGCACTAGCACATTGAAGGGAGGAATAGAGATACTCCTTTCACTCATCTCATCTACATATTGCAGGAGAGAGGGGACTTGGAGGGCTACATGAACTTTGAAAAAACAAAACTTTTGAGCAACAAAGTTAAAAGTATTCTTTAAGAGTAGAATTATACAACAAACTTAAGCCATCTATCCCCTAAGAGGTATAAAATTTAACAGAATCATTAAGATTAGAAATTCACAATACTATTACATGCTATTTTATAATACTTAAAAGTTCCTACATATGTGAAAAATATATCACTCATATGTTATTTTTAACAATGTTAATTCTCCCAATGATTGCAGAATATCTTTCCATTTGTTTGTGTCTTCAATTTCTTTCAGCAATATTGTTAATAGTTTTCATGCACAGGACTTTCACCTCCTTGGTTAAATTTATTCCTAGATATTTTATTTTTTTATTGCAATGGTAAATGAATTGTTTCCTTAATATCTCTCTCTTCTAATTTGTTGCTAGTGTATAGAAACACAACCTTTTTCATATTGATTGCAAATTTATGGTGTTTATTATTCTAATAGCTTTTCAATGAAGTCTTTATGGTTTTCTGTAAATAAAATCATGTCATCCACAAATAGTGACAGTTTAACTTCCTCCTTTCCAATTTAGATGCTTTTTATTTCTTTTTCTTACCTAATTGTTCTGGCTAGGACTTCCAATACTATATTAAATAAGAGTAGTAAGAGTGGGCATCCTTGTCTTGTTCCTGATCTTAGAGGGATAGCTTTCAGGTTTTCATCATTGAGTATGATGTTAGCTATGAATCTGTCATATATGGCCTTTATTACTTTGAAGTAATTACTTATCTACATATTTTATTGAGAGTTTTTATCATAAATGGGTGTTGAATATTGTCAAGTCCTTTTTCTGCATCTTTTGAGATGATTACTTGATGTTCTCCTTCATTTTGTTAATGTGGTGTATCATGTTGATTGATTTGTGAATG